TATAATAATTTACCATTTAAAATTCTTGCTGCTTACAAGTAGAGCATTAAACTTTATTGCAGAGGTAATTTTCTATTTTATATCATATAATCTTAATTAATTGTAAATTTATTTACAGTATTACTTCAAGCCTAAAGAAATGTATATGCTATTCAGCTGTAAGATAAAGATTCTTGAATTAAAATAAAGTGATTGTAAATTCTTAGAATGATGCATTGACAATTAATGATCTGATGAAATTTCTGATGCAAAGGATGAGCTAAACTCAGCTTCATTTTCTCTAGTAGATATACCTTGTACAAGAGAATTCTAAACTTAAGATTTACATGTTCTTACTTAAGAAATATAAATTTATTATAAAATTCTTATATAATAAGATAAATATTAATTAATAAATTTTAAATCCAATGTTCAATATTTAAATATTAAATAAAGAGTATCATTATACTTATAATAGACACTTTGGGGTTACTTTAGTTATATAAATTTATTTACATCCAAACACTCCTAAAATTCCACCACCAATACCATAAATTTTTTATTATTAGATTAATGGTACCAATTAAGAGTGCGTAAGTGGTATGAAATAATTATATTATTTTTCATCAAATCTTTATGAATATTATTAACCAGTTTTTGGTAGGGGCTAATTGTATGACAATTCATAATCAGTTAAGTATTTAGACTCAATTTCAGATGTCCAACAATGCTATGACAGAACTGAAAATAAAAAGGAAGAATAACCTAATTTGCTTTACAATACTATTTTCTCTAATTTAGTACATATACTTCTACTATAATTAGCTTATGGCATCATAAATGAAAACAGTCTAGTAATCATAAATATAATAATTCTAAATAGTTTAAAAGTCAAAAAAGATGTATCTATTTGTAAATATCGTTAAATAATTGTGTACATCCTGAAAAAGAACATTATGCTAATGGTATCTGGAATATTTCCTAATTTGGTAGAACAATAGAAACCATTATTATGTGGACATGATAAATATATGCTTGTAATAATTATTTTTTGAAATAACTATGAGAAGGATTATGTTAAAATTGTTATATTAATAAATATTTATTAAAAAGGTGAAAAGAATACTTAAACTTGAAGATTCAAATTAATAGTAATTAGAATAATAAAACTAATCATGAATATTTATTTTCTTATTATCCTATTTTACACATATTTTTATATTAATAATAAACGATCATTTCTTAATCGACTCTTTTATTCTTCATTTTTTTTAAATCATTAATTCATTTATATGATTTTTCATCTTTGGTTAAAGGATGTAACCTTTTACATCAAGATTATCAACACAATCAATTTTACGTTCAACTAAATAATCTATTTTCTATTTACTAAAGTTTTATTTGTATACTATAAATTCTTAAAATAATGAATCTCTAATATATTTCTTAAGTTGCTCCAAAGTCTTATTAGTTTTTTATCCTAACTATTAATTTAAAATCATTACATCATAAAGTATAAAAATATCTCTTTTTTGATTGTTTCAAACCATTAATAACTGTATGCAGATATATAATAATTAATACATGAGTATAATCAAATTTACAATATGATGCAAGCAGTCAATATAGTAACTTTAAGGATATAAAATGAAAATGCGAATAAATTACACTGTCAATCATAAACAAACAAAAAAATATTTGAAAATTAAAAATTTTTAAATTTCTTTCAATCCTTTTTCACCAATCAATTCATCTGAGATGAATTTACAAAATGCATCTTTTTCCATATAAGCATCAAATTTATTTCCAGTTCTTTACATTTTATTTTTTAGAGGTTATTTTACTTGATTTTTATTCTTTTACCATTTTATTAGATAATAATTTAAGAAATTAAATAAAAAAATATTTATTAATAATTATATTAAAAGTAACAAAAAAATATTATTCTTATTAATAATCCTCTTATACTTATATCTTATGATATTATAATTTATATAATATAATTAATTTACAAATGAAAAATATATCATTAATTTATATTTACTCGGTACTTAATATCCAGTAGCTTTTCATATATGGGATAATGATTTTAACATAGATTTTTCATCATCCGTAAAAAATGTAATTGCCTTTCCTTTATTGCCAGCTCTAAATTCTAAATGTTCTATCTATTCTATATATATTTAATTTATAATTATATTATATTATTCATAAGTAATCATTGATTCTAGAAAATCATAATTAATAAATAATTAAGCATTTTTAAATCTATTTCTCTAATCATCATATCAGTAAAAATAAGTATCCATATTGTTCCTTTATGAAATTATTCAAATATTTCTTGTCTTGTTTTACTTTTCATATCTCCATGAATACAATTTTCTCTAATTACTTTCAATTATTCTTTTTCATAAATTAAAACTTCTGCTCTGATTTTAGATTAAACAAACATAAACTATATGGAGTCATTTAACCTTCTTTTATTATATTTCTAATTTCTTAAATTTTTCCATATACATTAGATACATATCTTAATTGTTAATCAATTCTACTTAAAACATGGTTCCTTCCTTCTATCATGGTTTTAATTGGATCTATTAATAAATTTCTATAAATATCTTCAACTCGTTCAGGTTAATAATTATTTTATTTAAGCTAATAATCTTAATTCAAAAGATTTTTCACTACTAAGTATATCAATATAATATGATTCCATTCTTAGGAAAAACTTATTTTTCTCTATTCATTTCTTAAATTTATTTAATCTTTAATTCTTTATTAAATTTATTCTTAATATAATTGATAGGCTAATTCTTACAGCAAATCCTTTTTTATGATTTTATAAATTATTTAATATAGGTAGTTTTACCAGATCCTGTATGTGCTATTGCTATATGATTCTTTTTTATAAATAATTGGTACAGAAACCATTTAAATTAGAGTTGATTTTTAAATAATTACATTTAGTTAGTCGATTTAATAATTTAGATATGACTTCTTCTTTAAAAAAATAGTATAATTTTCAATTTTTTAAGAATAGTATTTCTATATTAAATGTTATATGTTCTTTTATTTGTCATTTCTTCTTCTATTTAATCTAAGCTTTCTTTTTTCTTGATCTTTTTAAATTATATTCAATTATTTTAGGCCATTCTTCTGATTATGATTATGTTGTTTCTATTTTTTATTCTAATACTTTTTTCTTCTTTTAAGTATATATTACATTCTTTTATTCTTAAAATAATTAATAAACGATATAATATATGTCAATAGGAAAGATATTTATAATAATATTATTTTCATAAATATACATATCTATATTTAATTAGTAAATATAATATAATAGTAAATTAATTTTAGCAAATTGAAGAAAAAAGAAAAATTAATTGCTTATCTAAATTGTTGGTGTCTATAATAAATATGATTAACCAAATAACAAAGCAAATTTATTAATAATTCAGATTCCACCAGATATTTTAATAGGAGGGGGGAGGGGAATATATTCTGAAAAAGAAGCCAACTTAAAAGGATTTGATTGGGAAAGTAGTAAGGATGAAGAAATAATAAATTAATTGATTTACAATATCAAAAAGAAATGACAGAAAAAATTAAATATAGAAAAGAAAATAAGATTTAATTATTACTTTTATAAATATTATAAATGGAGAATACTTTAAATGAATTATTAAAGAGAGTTCTTATGCTCCAGATATTATGATAGAACGATAAGCATTAACAAGATTAAAAAGATTAAGATAAGAATTGAATAAATAAATTTCTTGACTATGAAAACAATTAAATCCTTCCTATTTAGAAATACTTATTTAAATAAGATAAATTACTACAAGATAGGGAAGAATTAAGAAAAATAGATATTGAATTAGTATTATAACATTTTGGTTTTGAAGTTTCTAAACTTTTTTATATTGGCGGTAGATTAATTTAGAACGCGATAAGTTGATTACATGTTTGATTCTGATTCTATTTTGCTTTAATTAATTAATTTTACATGAAGATGTTCAATTAGAAATGTTTGTTTGGTCATTATTTGAGAATATTAAATAAGGATTAAGAAAGAATCATTTTATTTAAAACCTTTAGCTTATTTTATTAATGGTTTAAATATGTATTGTAACATTGGATAAATTATTGTTGAAAATTCATAAATATTAGCACCTTTTCTATTGAAATTTAATATATTAGATTATTAACATGTTATAATTTCAAGAAAATTATGCAAAAATTCTTATATCCAGAATTATCCTATTTTACCAAAGAAAGTAGAAACATAAGAAGAAATTGATTTATTTATTTTAATTACTAGGATTACAATAAAATATCTTTCATAAGCTTGGAAATAATTTGAATAATTTTTTTATTAATAAGATAATTAAGGAATGATCCTTTAGATTAAGTTCCTCATTTAGATTCTCTTGAAATTAAGTATCTTGATTTATCAGTTAATTCATTATAAGTTTGTATTACTAAATTTAAAATGTTAAAAGAGAAGATTTGGGTTGGATTCACTCCTTATAGCATTATTTTTATATCGATTAGTAAAGAAATAGAAAAAACATAAAATTAGAATTACTAAAGAATTGAAAGCTGCTTAAGAATAATTCTAATAAAGATGTTCAAGTATTAGAAATCTTAAGTCAATCTGTAATAATTTTATTAAACTTTTAAATTTTAGTAAATATTTATTATAAAGTTAAATTATCGAAAGAGAAAATTTCTAAGAGGATCTAAAATAACATATCTTAATAAACCATTTTAACATAAAGTTCCAGCGATGATTTTATTTAAATTAGCTGAATCAATATTAAGAATTAATTTGGTAATAATTTGATTGAATAAATTGATTATGTAAGAAATAGAATTATCCATTTGAAACATATTATAATTTAATATTAATGGTTTCAATAGCTAAAACTACTTAAACTTAATATATTTATGAAAATATAACTAAAGATGTTTAAATTACATATAAAAATAATGATTAATTTAATAGTGATAGAAATAATACATATGATTTCTTACCTATATTTTAATCTGTTTGTAAATTGCTGAAATAACTACAAAATTAAGAGATGATATATAAAAGAAATAAAAATAAATATAATATATAATAGAATTAAAGTATACATAATACTATATTAATAAAAGAAGATAGATTAAGATGATAGTGAAAAGAAAACAATTAAATAAATTTATTAAAATATTGCTTAATTAAAATACTAATAAGTATTAGAAAGATTATTGCAATAGTAATAATCCCCAGAGGAAATATTATAAAATAATTTTAAAAAATATCAAGAAATTGTAAATGATTTAATAATTGCCAGAAATCTTAATTTTTAGGAAAACTCTTTAGAATAGCTTATGATTTTAAGTTTCATGATATGTTGAATTTTAGAAATATTATTAAAAGATAATATAAAAAACATATGTGGGCTGCCCACATGGCTGTATTCTTTGGATAACTAAGAATGAATAAGAGTTAAAGAGAGAGAGTAGCTTAATTGAAGATTAATTAATAAATATATTTACAATAATTAAACATGTATTGACTTATCGAATTAGAATTTTCATAATTTTAATTTATGATTAATGATATTAAAGATAGCTATTAATAAAATAACGTTAATTATGTAATTTTAATATTAGTTATAAATGGAAGATTCAATAAATTAAAATTAATACAAGAAAATTATATCACTTAAGCATTATCAATAGCAGCAGCTTATAAAATTAATACAATTAGAAATATACCCTATTATGAAAATTTCAATAGACTATTAGAAGAATGCTATATTAAAAGCCTCTAACCAGAAGATAATCTTGATTTNCTGTAATAATTTTATTAAACTTTTAAATTTTAGTAAATATTTATTATAAAGTTAAATTATCGAAAGAGAAAATTTCTAAGAGGATCTAAAATAACATATCTTAATAAACCATTTTAACATAAAGTTCCAGCGATGATTTTATTTAAATTAGCTGAATCAATATTAAGAATTAATTTGGTAATAATTTGATTGAATAAATTGATTATGTAAGAAATAGAATTATCCATTTGAAACATATTATAATTTAATATTAATGGTTTCAATAGCTAAAACTACTTAAACTTAATATATTTATGAAAATATAACTAAAGATGTTTAAATTACATATAAAAATAATGATTAATTTAATAGTGATAGAAATAATACATATGATTTCTTACCTATATTTTAATCTGTTTGTAAATTGCTGAAATAACTACAAAATTAAGAGATGATATATAAAAGAAATAAAAATAAATATAATATATAATAGAATTAAAGTATACATAATACTATATTAATAAAAGAAGATAGATTAAGATGATAGTGAAAAGAAAACAATTAAATAAATTTATTAAAATATTGCTTAATTAAAATACTAATAAGTATTAGAAAGATTATTGCAATAGTAATAATCCCCAGAGGAAATATTATAAAATAATTTTAAAAAATATCAAGAAATTGTAAATGATTTAATAATTGCCAGAAATCTTAATTTTTAGGAAAACTCTTTAGAATAGCTTATGATTTTAAGTTTCATGATATGTTGAATTTTAGAAATATTATTAAAAGATAATATAAAAAACATATGTGGGCTGCCCACATGGCTGTATTCTTTGGATAACTAAGAATGAATAAGAGTTAAAGAGAGAGAGTAGCTTAATTGAAGATTAATTAATAAATATATTTACAATAATTAAACATGTATTGACTTATCGAATTAGAATTTTCATAATTTTAATTTATGATTAATGATATTAAAGATAGCTATTAATAAAATAACGTTAATTATGTAATTTTAATATTAGTTATAAATGGAAGATTCAATAAATTAAAATTAATACAAGAAAATTATATCACTTAAGCATTATCAATAGCAGCAGCTTATAAAATTAATACAATTAGAAATATACCCTATTATGAAAATTTCAATAGACTATTAGAAGAATGCTATATTAAAAGCCTCTAACCAGAAGATAATCTTGATTTCTTCAAACCTCCAAAAGATAAAGAAAAACCAGACCCTAGGAAGAACCTTTGATAAAATCAAACCAGTTTTTCAAAAGTGGATCATAAGATTATAAAAATATCATTCTTAAAATAATAAATGCTACTATATGGGAATTAGATGAAAATAATAGCTGGACTGTATTTTAATTAGCTATAAATGGTGGATTCTTTGATGTAATAATTAATAATAAATAAAATCATATCATATTACTATATAAACAATTTTATATTTATATTTAAATATAGATCGATAAGATTTAAAGAATATATCAATAAATAATTTACCATAAAGATGGTGGACTCTATAATAATTGGAGAAGTTATTAAAATAAGAATATTTTTAATAATTAACATTAAGATTATATAAGCGTATGCAAAATATCAGAGATCTGTTTAAATTTTGCTTATTTATATAATAAAATTAGTCTTTCAATATAGAGTCATGATCCAATCATAAATATTATTATGATTTAAAATTTTAGATCCATAAAAATAACCATTAATGTATTAATTAAAATTATATTTGAATTAAGTTGATAAAGCTAATTCATTTATTTTGATCGAAATTTTTTGTGATAGACATCGTTAAATGGTTTATGATAAGTTATATACACAATTAATAAAATATAGATAATCTTATGAATTATTAGGAATATATTATAGTATATTATATGATAAGAATGACTATTTAGGTAAATTCTACAGTTCTTTAATGAAAAATAACATACTTTTATTTTTGGTATACTATTATTGATATTGAATCTTAATAAATATTAAGAAGTAGGTCATAATAAATTTAAATAGATATTTGAATTAAGAGAGGATCTATTGCAACAAATATCTTTAGAACTATGTTGAAATACTTTGAAAAATAGAAAGAACATTTATATATTTCTTTTCATTAAAGCAATCATTATTGAATAATCGAATATAATGTAAAGGAAAATAATTAACATCAAATTATTAAACAAAAAGAAAAAATAAAAAGGAACTTATTATAATTCCAATCACTAATTAAATAAATATTTAAGTTGTTTCTAAAGATCAATTTATTAAAAGAGAAAAATATTAATTTTTATTTAATTAAATTATAAAAGATTCATCTACTAAATATTGGACATTTTTAATAGATTAAGAATTGAAATGAATAAAGATAGATTCGCATAAAATGTTCATTTATAGAATTTTATTACAATAAATTAGCAAATGGACTTGAAAAAGCAACCAAAACAAAAAAATTATTTATAATATCATATTAATTATCTTACGTTAAATGTGTGTAAGATATAATAGGTCTTCAATGGGATATGTTGTCAAAAGTAATTAAACATATTGCTTCTTATTTAAAATTTACAAATAATGTTTGTTTTGAAATTGTTGAGATTTTGATCAAAGAAAAGTAATAATTTTTTTTCAATTTAGTCAATAAATATTAAATTAGAAGATTCTGATTCTATTTTTAGATTTGGTTAACTGAATTATCAGAGTATAATAATACATTAGGTTTCAAATAAAATATTGTCATGATGCCAAATGGAAACTTTTAATAATTATTATAAACTCAATATAGATCCAAATTAAATAATAGTGAAATAAAGAGTCTATAATTTTTAGCTATTTTTAATGAATAATATAGAATCTTATAATCAACCAATTAGGGATAATTTCTTAAGATTCGCTTTTTTTTTCTGTTATTCATTTAAAATATTATTATGTAAATGTTTTTTATACAGTCAATAATTAAGATTTTATATAAATGATAACACTATGCTATTAAATACATTTCATAGAAATATTAAATATAATTAATATTTAAGACTATTAAAGTAAAAATAATTCAATTCAATAAAATATTTCTTTAAAATTATTTATCCAAATTAACTACAACTCTTTACTACTCACAAATAAGTTTATTACCTATTATATTTAAATTAGAGATCGAATCAAAAGATATTTCAGTAAATTTTGTCTTACTTTCATCCAACCATCAAAGATATTCTAACAAAATGTTAAATTCTAAGTAATTAATAATTTGCAAATAGCTGAATAAAAGAAATCATCAATTAATGACTATTTTGTTTAAAGACTGTTAGAATTTGTATTTAAAGATTCTATTAAAAATTATTATAAATATTTACATTCAAGAGATGTTATCTAATAGATATCAAAAAATGATTCAATACACTATTCTTTATCAAAATTAAATCCCCATTGACTTGTAGTTTTAAAAAGGGAAGGATTCTAAGTTAACTCAAGTTTTAAAGTTTTAGGGCATAAGCATACTTTTACATATAATTTTTTTATGTTAAAGCCATTAAAATTAGAATGAATATAAATATATAGTATAATACTATCGATTTAATTTTAATTTAAATTAGTAAATCATATGCAGTAAATTTAGTAGTTTTTAAAGCCGACGTTATCTAATAATTTACATCAACTTTAATTCTAAATTTAATCATTGTAATCTATAATTTTGATTATTATTTTATATAATATTATATTTGACTATACATTATTTAATAATGATCTATTATTTTAAATAAATTGTAACAATTAATAGCTATCAAATACCTAAAACTATTAAGCCTGTTAATATATTAACCAAAAACAATAATGATCTAAAATCAAATTCTGATTATACTTATTAGAGCAGATCATTTTGTACTAAGGTTGATTATTTTCTTTCTAATTTAGAAATGCATCCTGTTTTAGGATGGTTCTCAATCAACCTTATTATTATATATTTCCTATTCACTGATCAAGTATTTAATTGTTATAAATAATAATTTTTGTTCAAGATTAATTAAACAGAGGTAACATTTTACATCAAATAAAAGTGAACAATTATATTTAAAAAAAATGCTATTCAACACATTAAAAACACACATATTATTATGCATAAAGAATCATTTATTTCTTGATTTAATTTTATAACTGATAACTCTATAAAAAATGTTATAGTTAGCATAGAATATTTTTAAGAAAGGATAATAAGTATATAATATATTGCAAATTAAACTGTTTTATTTTCTATTATCCTAGCATGATGCTTAGTATAATAATTAAATTTCTAAATGCTTCCCATTAATATATATTAGGTTAATACATCTTCGTCATATAACTTTTTATATTTCAGATATATCCATTCTAACAAAATCTATTATATAAAAACTATAAGAGAACACCAAAAATACCCAAAAACAGGAAATGTTAATAAATTAATTCAATTAAATATATTATAGTGATGGTCTATCTTTTCTAAAAATTAATTAGGGCTATTAGAATTTTAAATATAAAAATATCCAACATAGATTATTTATTAGTGCAATAAGAAAATCTATCTTTAAATAAATGGCTAAAGTAAGCACCAGTAATATGTGTCAATACATGATCTATAAAAAGTTAGATTATGAAATTAATTCATACTTTCAAAGAAGCGGATTTATATTTCACATTTTTCACTCTCTTGCTACTTCACTCCTAAGCAAAAATATAAATAGAAAGCAAAATCTGATTATTAATATTGTAGTTAATGTTATTGTGCTTTATTGACGTTATTTCTCAAGGTCAAAATATATAAGAATGATATAAAATCATCCCAATTACCCTACCTTTTAATATTATTCTCTTATTCCAGATATTCCTACAATAAATTTGGAGTAATATGCTAACCAGACAAAATGCTTTTTTTCTTGAAACTTATTTTTTAATTTTGAACTTAAGACTTTACTTTATTTACATTAGAATATCTTTATTTTGAATTAAATAATTACATATTTTCTGTTCTTCAAATCATTGATATTTAAGTAAGTTCAAATATCAATTTTTAAATGATCTACTAAATATATATAGATGTTAACTTTTTAAAATCATTAGTTAACCTATATTATTGTGTTCAGAATTTACAAAAAATATTAAATAAACCAACATATTTAAGTAAACATGTAATATATGATCTTTTCTATCATGTTGTTTATAAAATATGAGATATTTTATTCAAAAAAGTTGTTATACTATAAAATATTGTAGCCAAAATCATTTCTACGATAATACAATAACTATTTAAACAATTGATTCATAATTAGATTATAAATAAAGAATGTTTTAATAAATATTGAGAGTTGACTGAATAAATTAAGGATTGAGTATTTCAGATCCCTTTCAATCCCCAAATTCTAATCATGCTATCTTCAATTATCCATATTATAATGCTTGACCTTTTTTTAAGTGACATACTTAATGATATAAAAAATAAACTTAAAAACTTATTAAATTATTCTTTAAAATTGATTTTCAATTAATTGCACAACTTTGCTAATAATTTAAGTTCAAAAAAATGTATTGTCGAAGAAGAAATAATTAAATTTATTGATTGATAAGTACTTCTCCTACTACTTATATATCCAGTCCTTCAAATGCTGGCTCTACTTATTTATATAAATTATTAATTCAAAAAAAATATTATAATTTGGAGAAAAATTTTGAAGAATTTAAAAATTAATTTTTAAAATAATTTTTTTAAATGGATAATTAACTATTTTAAAATAAAATAACAACCAGGTTCTAAGAATGATAAACCCAAAACTGTTGAAATACTAGAAAGCTAATATCAGGGAAAGTAGATTAAAAAGTTTATGCACATGACATCATTTATGCAAACGCTCTGGTAATTATTCCAAAGTTTTCACTTTAACTCAAAAAATATCCCCATCTTTGATCCAATTACTTTAAAATTAGATTTCTCATATTTGTTAATAAGGTTATTCATTAAAAATAATATTAAATGTTTGAGGGAACTAATTCAAGAAGTTAACTATCCTAAAAGCAATCCAAAAATTTAATAAGCAACTTTAGGTAACATTTTGTTTATTCTTAAAATTCCTATTTTATAATTATTTTGATAAAAATCGAATGATATAGCATATTGACCTTTAATATTATTAAAAATAGTACTTATTTTACAGAATTACCATCTAATGGACTAAATACATTCTTTAAATATCTTCTTCGAGCATCAATTATTATTAATAATTTTAATTTGTTACAAAAAATTAACAGTTTCTGCTGCAGATTTTTGATGATTATCGAAAAAGGATTTTATTTTCAATTTTTATGTATCAGTAGCATAAAATATGAATATGACACTGAGATTAGTATTTTTTGTTAAGCTTTGAACAGAATGAGACAATCTTACTTTCTTACTTTCATATAACAAAATATTTGGTTCAAAATCTCCAATAAATGTTCTAGTCCAAGAAGGGTAGATTTCTTTATAAGTATTTAATTCTAGGTCTTTTATGGATGCTATTCCCCTCAAAGTTTTATATCATTAACTATATAATTGATATTCATAAAGTTTCCAATATGTAAAGATATTTAGAGTAGAAGGATTTTAGAATGCTTTAAAAAAGCTTATCTTGGTGTAACAGAATAAGATATAAAGTCTTTAGGTATTGAAGCGTTAATAGCAGAAGAATTTAAAATAAAAGAAGAGTAATATACAATAGAATTATTATAATGTTTCTTAAGAAATAAGGATTACTATTTAATTGATTTATTATTGAAATATGAGAAGAAAAATGTGGATGCTCAAAAATTGAATGAATTAAATGAAGAAGCTTGACTTATCAAGAGGAAGATTTAAGAATGTTGGTATCTATTAATAAAGGTTGGATAACCTGATGGAAATGTATAGTTATATAAAAGAATTAAGGAGATGGGATGATGCAATAAGTAATTAATTATTGTATAGCAGATTTTGCTTAAAAATTAGATGTTGCTTATAGGGGTGTTATATCTGAAGGGAGAACTGCTGCTGAAGTTGGAGCAATTTGACAATTGAGTAGTTTTATTAATTTGTTTTATTTTAAATCTTAATAAAAGGCATAGGTAAAAATGAAACATGATTATCATTAAAAGGGTTAAATTGATTTAAGTTAAGAAAAAACCTTCTATTTATAATTATCTAATTAATTCTTAATCTTTCTCAAATAAAGTAGAATCTGTGTTAAGTATTTTAAATTCTTATTAATTTTATATAAATATCATAATAAAATTTATGAAATCACAAATAAGAATAATAGATTTTAATTAAAATATATAGTAAATTATTTATAAAACCATTTAATATAATCTATGAATTCAAAGATGGATAAATTTAATTAATTTAAACACTTTAAGGACATAAAAATTATGTTAACACACTATATTTTATGAAAAATTCAAATTAATTTATATCCGGAAGTAGGGATAAAACTATAATTATATGGGAAATTAAGAATAATTAATGGTAGATTTAATAATAACTTAATGGACATACAGATTATATTCTTCATATAATAATGAATAATAAAGAAGATCTTATTATATCTGCCAGTTATGATAGAACTATTAAATTTTGGGAGAAACAACATAATTAATGGAAACTAACTTAAACAATATCTAATTTTAATTTAGTATATAGTTTCAGTTTGAATGAATCTCAAAATTAATTTATATCTTCTAATTTTGATAATTCAATAATAGTGATGGAATAATAAGGAAATGATAAAAAATGGGTTTAAATATAAAAAATTGAATTAGAAACTTTCTGTTATCTACTTAGTTTTATTGGTGATAATCAATTTACATTTTAACCTGATAGTGGTTAATATATGAATTTATATGAATGGAATAACTTGACTAAAGAATATGTAAAAACTAAAGATATTCTAGTATAATCAGGTGATAATTTAGATGATTTCTTGTTATTTCCTTAACAATTTATAAAGGAGAAATCTATCTTAATTAATAGATTTGGTAAAGTTGTAAATGTGATTAAAAAGAATTAAAATGGAGAATTTATTAATTTATAATCAATTCTATTTTAAAGTAATTTGTTATTTATATGGATCAGCAACTGATAATGGAGATTATTTAGTTACGTGGGATAGTTAAAGTAGTTAATTATAAATTAGAAAATATGTTGAAAAATGATTATTTATAAATTATTAATTATTATTTATTAAATCGATGAAATAGTTGAAAAAAATAAAAAATAAATAGATTATAATAAAATTAATTCTTTTAGTGGGTAAAATTACAATAAATAAAGAAGTTAAAAATTCTCATTTAAATGGTAAACTAAAAAATTCTTCTAAAAATAAGAATTATTTAAGATTCAATCATTTAGAATTCTCTAAAATTTACTTTCATTTTGTCTTAATAAAAATTGACTGAATAATAAATAAACACTGTTAAATTAGAAACTATTAATAAGTTTAAAATTAATATATCTAAAGTAGCTTGTATTAATTGTTCACCATTAAGTTTATCAGTTTTCAGGCTAAATAATGGTTTGAAAAAGTTTAAGAATAAAAAAGAAAAAATACATAAGATTATGATGGACAAAATAACAGCTTTATATCTTATTTAAATAAATTTTATAATTATAAGAAATATTAATATTCTAATAAAACTTTAAAATTTTTAATCATAATCTCAATGGCATTAATAGAAAATATATTTTTTTTGGTTTGTTTCGCAATTTTATATTCACATTTTTACCTTTCCCTTTTAAGTTTTCATATTCTTTAAATTTTAATCTAATGATTGACTATTACTAATTAATATATGCTTTAAAAGGAGGTAAAATATAATGTTTTATAATCTTTTATCGATTATATAGGTTGATTGCTAATTAATGTAAGTTTATTCATGTATAAAAAAGCTTATGAAAATCAAGAGACTGGCAAATAAATAAATATTATTAATTATGGAAGGTTTTATATACTGTAAATAAGGAATCTGTAAATAAGGAATAAGTATATAGTAATGACTACACAAACAGGTTAATTTGATATTGGAATTATGAATATAAGAATTATTTAAAATAAATATTATTAGGAAAGAAAATAGGTTTTATTCTATTTTATTGATCAGCTTTTTTTATGATTATTAAAATCTAAGAAAATTTTGTTTCATATCCCTTACACAATCCTACATCATATTTAATATTTAAATAATATTTATTAAAATTATTTCGGATTAGTATATATATTCTTAAAGGGAAATCATTTTTAATAATTATATATCTATAAAAAACAATTATTCATTTATGGTTGGTTACTCATACCTTTCATATCAAGTTTTTGTTTCTTGATATATGTTCACAACAATCTTAATTTTTCAAAAAACCTCAATTTTAGCCATTTAGAAATAGATTTTTATTTAAGGATAGGCTTTATTGAATAAGGCAAGTTTACATTGAACAAGGTTTCATAGGTCCATTATTAAAATTCTATAACTACCAAAAGATTTTATCCATTAATCAGAGATTAAATGAAATATCAATCCTTTACCATTAGGCATTTCCTTTTTCATAATATTAAATAACTCATAAGAAATCTAATTAATTATAATGGATGTATATATTTAGTAAATCCTAAATTAGTTAAAAATGCTTTTCTAATATATCAGTAAAATAACAACAAAAATAATTTATAATATACTATTCAACAAATAGCCAAAAAAGTTAAATATCTACCTGTCACTCATTCAAACTTATTCATAGTTATATTAAATTAACTAATAATAATAAAAATCTTTATCTTATTTATTTGTTATAAAAGCCTTAAATTCTCATTTAAGGGAGTGTTTGAAGGCATATTGTAATAATTATTTATACTATACTTATATAGATATTCTATGTAATATTAAATCTTTTACCATATTAACCTTTTTTTTGTACTTAAAAGCCTTAATGAATTTCTAAATTTATCTTTCCATTAAAGAAACCCATTTACTGTTTTTAAAAAAAACCTAGTAATAATGTAAATAATTAAAAAATTTAATTTGCAGATTACTCAAAAATATTTTTTTTTTTTTTTTTCTAAATGTATATAAGGAGCGCGATGAAGTCATATATAGATAATAAATCAAATAGCAATCTACTAATAAATCCTTATATTAACTTATTAAAAATGTAATTTCATAAATTCCAAGTATTAATTCTTGGGTTTATAGATGAATAGAATTTATTAGAATAATTGAAATTCAAGCATATTTTTGCTTTTTAACTGTGATTTATTAAAAAAAATTATTATTATTTTTATTTGTTATAGAATTTTTGTAGATGATTTAAAAAAATGATAATTTTGAAGATAGTGAGTTGTCAAATCCATGTCAAAAAATCAATGAAAATTAACCCTAGCTTATAAATTACAAAAGCTTTGATATAAAAAAAGTACTTGATGAATTTGAAATATATTTTGAAAAATATTCTTCATTAATTGATATTCATAAAGAATTATTGTATCTATCATATAGAATTTAATTACCTGAAAAATATTTGAACAACATTATTGAATATTTAAAAGATAAAAACTAAGATTAAAATTAAATAGTTATTTAAAGGACATATTGTTTAATATTAAGATAATCAATTATTAAGGGAGCAAGAATAAGAATTGATACTATAATTGAAATATTTAATGTCATTAAGGATAAAATTTCTTAAACTGAATTAGTTGAAATTTTATCCATTAAACAATAATAGGAGTTTATTAAAGAAGAAGATTTTGATAAAATTTTAAATAATAATGAACTTGATATTGAAATTAAATAAAATCTAATTAAAATGAAATTCAATAATAAAGATTACTTTTGTAATTAAGATTACGTGTCAAATATATCAATTGAGAAAATGAATTAAATGATGGTAACAAAAAATGTTCATATTGAATATTAAAGAAATTTTATTATTGAAGAGAACTAGGATTAAAATTATGATTGTATATATGAATTTATTAATGAAAATTAAGTATCCAAAAATATAATTTAAATTGAATAAAAAGAAAAGCAAAAAAGGAAAGTTTCAGGAACATTATTTATTGGAACTTATATAACAATTAAATAATTGTATGAATATGCAATTACTTCAAACTAAATAAAAGAAAAATATAAAAATGAATTATTACCTGAAAGATTATTTGGGTAAAAGTATTTTTCAAAAGGATAGCTGGGTGATTTCTTATGTGATCGAATGATTATAGAAACATTTTTAATAATATCAGAAAAGTAATCATTAAATTAAAAAGCTATTGATAAAATATTTTAACTTTTTAATTCATTTGAAGAAGTTAAAACTATTTTTATGAAAGATTAATCTAGAGAAATTTATATTAATTCAATACATATAAGTGAGAATATAACTGAAGATTTGAATGATATAGAATAATTAACGAAAAGAATTTATAAAGTGTTCTCTCTTTATGATAAATCACATTCTAAAATTTCTCTAAATCATAGTTTTCTTGGCAAATAATTAACATGTTTTGGAGATAAAAATTAGGAAGTAATAGATAAAATTGAAGAAATTATGTTTTCTGAATTCTAAAAGATTAGAGTTAGTGCTCTTAAAATTATTTTAAATTTAGCTTCCTAGTAATAATATATATTAAATGATTAATAAAAAAATTTAATTAGTGAACTTTAAAATCGTAATGAATCAAATCAGGAATTTCGTAAAGTAGCCTTATAGCTTTACAGTTTATTGAATTAGAATAATTAAAAATAAGTGATAGAAGGTTGCATAAATAAAATCAAAAATTGTTAATATGAAGGAATTGATTATGTACTTAATCATGTTGAGGTAAGATAAATAGCAAATTTGTTACAAGGGAAAAATATTTCGATTTTAATCCAGAATATTTCAAACAAGTAAATCACAAAAGAGTATTAAATAAAGTTGTCTGAAATAGTATCGATTTTTTTAAGTCATGACAACTTAAATATTTAAAGAGAAGATTTCAATTAAATATTCAATCTATTAGAAAATAATTTAGATTAGTTGTTGAAAGGTTACTTACTTAAATCAATTTTATTGTTTCTAAAAAAAAATCCAGAAATTTAAGATCAAGTTTATAAAGAGCTTATAAAAAATTTTTCTTAATTTACAGATTCCTAAAAAGACTAAATAATTTTAAGTTTAGGAAAAATTCTTAAAACAGAATAAAAAGAAATAAATATTGATTAAATTTCTGATGAATTTTCATCAAAATTATTTGACCATAAAAAAATAATTCCAAATTCAAATGGAATAGATTCAAAATAAATTGAAGAAAAAAACGACTCAAATTATCCAAGTATATCTTTAATTGTTGCTAAAATTATTTATAATTTAATCTCATAATCATAATTTAAATTAAATCTTTCAAAAGAAAATATAAGTCACTTAATTTGGACTCTAAATCATAAAGACAAATAGACTTAAGTATATGCTCTAAAAATTTTAAATTTATTTTTTAAAAACCTTTCAAATGATTAGGATTATATAGAAATATGTGATTAATTAATTGAACATTTATCTTAAAATCTAATAAATGATTTTAATGATACTGGATAATAAATTTATTATTCATTTTTATTGTATACACAACTAATATTATTAAAATAAAAGAAATTTGGCCAAATAATAGAATTATAATATATTGAAGCTTTGGCTTAGATTTACTGTCTGGATATAGATAGTGAAGATAAAGGTTATCTAATAATTTAAAAAAATATAATGGAAATCTTATAGAATTAAACTTATAATAAATCAATTATACCTGTGTAATTTATGAATTAATTTGAAAATATTTTGAATAATGATCATTAGATGTAAAAGGATGTTATAAACATACTCATAGAGTATACAAAATATGAAAATTTACAATAAAACCTCATTAAAGCACTTTAAAATGAATTGAAAAAGGAAGAAATTTAGAGTGATATTAAGTTGATTTTAGAATAAGTTATTAGAAGAGGTTAAAATATTAGCGATCGTGAATTGTAAAATTATATTGATAACATTTCTATTTCTGAGGAAGATTCCATAAAATGCTTTGAAATTTTAGATATTGCTCGAAATAATTTGATACTTTCTGAACATATATTTACATCTTTACAATTAGAAAGAGCTAGATATGTAATTTAAAAACAATCTGATGATTATATACATGCTGTTGATTATATATATTAGAAAGTGTAAGAAGGATTACATATATCAAGCAATATTTTTTAGATTATTGCATAAAAATTAGATTAATAACAAATTAGTGATAAATTAATGAAAATTTTACTATCAGCCACAAGTAATAAATAAATTATTCCCAAATATGTTGTTGATAAACTTTAAACATAATTGAATACTTAGAATATTAATCAAGATCTTATGCTTATATTTATAAATATGTTAAAGAATAACTAAGAATTTTCTAATGAACTTATAATTTGTTTAGAAAATTTATTAAATAATAAAAATATTCCTGAAAAAGTACTTTAATTCTTTGCAATTCCTAGTTAAAATTGTTAATTATTTTCTTCAAAAATTATTGAGCAATTATGTAGGCATATTTAAGTCACATAAGATTTGAATTAAGAAATTTATCTACTATAAGCTATTAATACAAAAATAAAAGCGAATAGTTTATTTCATTAAAATACATAATACATTGATTTAGTTAATTAAGTTTTAATATAAAAACTTTCAAAATAAAAAGAAAGATTAATTCCATTATGTGTTAACATTATTGATTATTTTTTTTAATAAAAATATAATTTAAATACAGAAGTATAAATAAAGTTGAAAGATTTAATATTGGATAAGTAAATCAAATATGAGAATAAAATGAAAATTAGTAAAACTTTAAAAAATTTTCAACTTGATGAAGAAACAGATTAATTTATTAAATAGTTTTCTTTAGAAGAGAATTTGAAATATGAAAATCTATGTACTTCAACAAAACAAATTGAATTGATACCTGAAAATTTTAAATAAATAAATTTGATATTATAAGATACTAGAAATTCAAGAGTTTTATTATAAGTTATTTCTCTTTTAGAAAATTGCAGTAATAAATAAGAGATACCTAATGAAATGATCTAAAATATTGTATTATTGCTTTCAAATAAAGAGGTAAAAGATAAATGTTTAAATTTAATTAAATAAATAATTAAATCAAATTAACAATTTCCCTAATATATTTTCTCATTTTTAATAGATAATTATGAGGAGGATCTCTAAAAAGCATCTTTTTTAACTATAACTTTAGAAAATTAGACATTAATAGATAAATTAAAAAATATTTAATAATTAGATTAATCAAAAAAATAATAAAATTCCGATTGTTCAATTCATATACTTAAGAATACTTATAATTATGTTAAAGAGGGCTTTTTATTGTAAAATGATAAAGTATAATTGCTTATCTAAATTGCAGATCAAAGTAAGGATATTGAAAAGGTTCAAGAATGTGTAAAAATTTTATCATAATCAATTTTGATGAATTAATTAAAATTAGATGAAGATATAGTATAAAGGATTGAAAGATTAATATAACATAAAGATATGTAAATAACAACGAAAATTATTAAAGCGTATACAAAAATAATAGTATAGTAAAAGTATTAAGATTTAACAAATACAGTTGATTCCTTCCTTTAAAGAAAAATTAAAGAAAAATAAACATCACTCTAAGCTTTACATGAATGTGTTTCATATGCTTATTAATTTGAATAAAAATTAAATAGAGATTGGTTAAAAATTTTAGAAATAAACTTGTATAATAAATCTTAAAGGATTAGTAATTTATCTTTTAGAGGGTTAAGATGTGCTAGTAGAAATGGAGTTAAATCTGATATTTTTAATGAATATTGTGATTAAGTAATACAAGTATTGGAAATCTTTTAAAAACCAATAAAGAGTGATTTAGATTTAATAGATACTTTGAACTATTTATAAAGTTATAATTTAGAAGAAACGATAAAGAAGACAAAGAATTAAAGTGATTGGAATTTAAAGTTATTAGAAGATGGTTTTATATTGATTAATGAGAAATGTAATAAGAATAAAATATTAAATTTGATTTAATAAGGTGAATAAAATATAGATAATCATGTTGAATTTTTACAAACAATAATATAATTAAAAGATTTAACAGATAGTTAAATTAAAGATATGATGATATTTAAAAAAACAATAGGAGAAAAAGAAACTATAAAATTACTGAATGAGAATATAATATATTAAGGAGGACATACAAATAAAAAAAATAGATGGTAAAAATTATAGTAAGGTTGGTTAGAATAGATGTTGTAAAAGAAAATAAGTAATAAAAGATCAGAAATAGAGATTTTTATACAGATTATGTTTAGAAATGTTGAAATGATATAAAAGAACAATGATATATGTGAGAAACTAGCAATGGTACTGAATATAATAGGAGAGATAGATAATATATCAGAATTTAAGAATTTATTAGATTTTATAAATATAAATGAATGGAAATTGATTAATAGTAAACGTTAATTAAGTGTATAAGAGTTAAGATAATAGTTAGAGATTAAAATGATATATGATAGATTTGAGTAGGAAAAGGAGGAATAATTAATAGAGACCATAAAATAATTATAAATATAAGGATGGACATATTAGAGATAGAAAGAGATATTAGATAAAGTCGAATAAAAGAGAGGTGATAAAAAGAAAATGATGGGAAATTTAAAATAATTATTTAAGAGTCTATATTATTATAGGATTAATGTAGAGAGTATAGATATAAATAATTTAATTGATTAAGATGATGATAATTGGAGTGAATAAGTATTAAGTTTTGGTTTAATAAGAGGAGCAAAAGATTACAATATTTTAGAGAGTGAATTTGAATAGTTAAATAATGATAATAGGATTAAAGACATCTTCAAAAAAATATATGAGAATAAAGAAAAAGAGTAATGGAAATATGATGATATAAGAGTATGGGCAGAGTAAGTAAAGAAGTTAGAGAGAGAGAGATTTAATGGAAATGAATTGATTATTGAATCATTAGCAGTAATAAAATAAGCAATTTAAATATAATTTAAATAGATAGTGAATTATTCATAAATGATGAGTGCATTAATAATATTAAAAGATAATGATAAGAAAGGAGTATTATTATAGGTGAGTACAGGAGAAGGTAAATCTCTAATAATAGGTATCGTTGCAATATATTATGGTTTATAAGGATTAGAAATAAATATACATACTAGTTCTTTTGTTTTAGCAGAGAGAGATTGTAAATACTTAAAACCATTGTATGAAATGTTTAATCTTTCATGTAAATAAAATAGAGATAGATCAAAATATAAAAAAGGAGAAAAGTAATGTTATAAAAAAGACATAGTACATGGTGATGTATCATAATTTTAATTTGATTCTTTAAGACATCATCATAATTAATTAAATACTATGGGAAATAGAAATATGTAAATAGCTATTATTGATGAAGTTGATAGTATGCTTATTGATGAAAGTTCCAAATTTGCAAGATTATCTACTAAAATTGTAGGTATTGAACTACTTTAACCAATATATCTTCTCATTTGGTAATGAATCAATATTCTAGAACAAAAAATAGTATTTATTGATTCTAAATATTATTATTTTCAATATGGAAAAGTTAATTATACAGAAAAAAACAAAAGTTTATCAATATTTGGGGAGGATGGAAAGATAATTTATGAATTTGGCAATCTCGAATAATTAGTTAAGATTTAAGAATTTTCAGAAATAGGATAAGAGATTTAAAATATAGATGAATTTAAAGAAAAACATTTAGTAGATTATATTAATAATATAATTGATAAATCTAAATTAATAATGTTGCCTACTTATTTTAAATAATATGTTAAACTTAAATTACATAGTTGGATACACAGTGCTATATTAGCAATGAAATATAAAGAAGATATTCATTATATAATTTGTTAAGGTGATATAAAACCTGTTGATTTTCAAAATACAGGAGTCATTTAAGATTATACATATTGGGGAAATGGATTACATTAATTTCTANTGAAAGTAAAGAAGTTAAAGAGAGAGAGATTTAATGGAGATGAATTGATTATTGAATCATTAGCAGTAATAAAATAAGCAATTTAAATATAATTTAAATAGATAGTGAATTATTCACAAATGATGAGTGCATTAATAATATTAAAAGATAATGATAAGAAAGGAGTATTATTATAGGTGAGTACAGGAGAAGGTAAATCTCTAATAATAGGTATCGTTGCAATATATTATGGTTTATAAGGATTAAAAATAAATATACATACTAGTTCTTTTGTTTTAGCAGAGAGAGATTGTAAATACTTAAAACCATTGTATGAAATGTTTAATCTTTCATGTATATAAAACAGAGATAGATCAAAATATATAAAAGGAGAAAAGTAATGTTATAGAAAAGACATAGTATATGGTGATGTATCATAATTTTAATTTGATTATTTAAGACATCATCATAGTTAATTAAATACTATGGGAAATAGAAATATGTAAATAGCTATTATTGATGAAGTTGATAGTATGCTTATTGATGAAAGTTCCAAATTTGCAAGATTATCTACTAAAATTGTAGGTATTGAACTACTTTAACCAATATATCTTCTCATTTGGTAAAGAATCAATATTCTAGAACAAAAAATAGTATTTATTGATTCTAAATATTATTACTTTCAATATGGAAAAGTTAATTATACAGAAAAAAACAAAAGTTTATCAATATTTGGGGAGGATGGAAAGATAATTTATGAATTTGGCAATCTCGAATAATTAGTTAAGATTTAAGAATTTTCAGAAATAGGATAAGAGATTTAAAATATAGATGAATTTAAAGAAAAACATTTAGTAGATTATATTAATAATATAATTGATAAATCTAAATTAATAATGTTGCCTACTTATTTTAAATAATATGTTAAACTTAAATTACATAGTTGGATACACAGTGCTATATTAGCAATGAAATATAAAGAAGATATTCATTATATAATTTGTTAAGGTGATATAAAACCTGTTGATTTTCAAAATACAGGAGTCATTTAAGATTATACATATTGGGGAAATGGATTACATTAATTTCTATAAATAAAACATAATTTAGAAATTACATCTGAAACTTTATTGACAAATTTTTTATCAAATGTTGGATATTTTAAGAAATATAATGGTAGATTAATTGGTTTGACTGGTACATTAGGTTCAAAAAATACATAAGATATGTTAAAAGAGGTTTATAATGTAGATTTGATGTTGATACCATAAAATAATTATAAATTATTTCATGAATTACCTTTATTGATTGTAAATTAAAAGAAATGGTTATAATAGATAATAAATTCATCTATTAATGAATGTTTAAATAAAAGAGGAGTTCTAATAATATGTGAAACAATTTAAACTGCAAGAGTCATTTATAATCAGTTGATTTCTAAGCATGCTAAAATCAAATTGTATGATAGGAATAATAATAATTAAGAGAAAGAAATTGAAAAAATATAATCAGGTTATATATTTGTTGCAACAAATCTTGCAGGTAGAGGTACTAATATAAATTCTAATGATATTGAAAATTATGGAGGATTACATGTGATATTAACATTTATGCCTTCTAATTAAAGAATTGAAGAATAAGCTTTTGGAAGAACTGCTAGATATGGTAATTTAGGTACTGGTTAAATCATATTAAATGAATAACATCTAAAATCTTTAGGTTATTCATTATAAGATTATTAATCTTTAAAAATATAAAGAGATTAATTTGAATATTAGAAACTTTAAGAATTTAAATTAAATGAAATAAATTAAAAAGAAGAATACTTTTAATAATATTGTAATCTCTTAGATTAATTAAGATCAAAAATTAATTCTTCAAATGAATTAACTTAATAAGAAAAATTTTATTCTTTTTCTAACATTGAAGAAAGATGGGCTCTCTTTTTACTTGAATTGGAAGACAAAAATTTATAAGATAATAAACCTTCATTTGATGAATTTCGGATTTCTGTTATTTAAGATGTTGATAATAAATAAATCATAACTAATCCTTTTCATTAAATAGATATTTTAAATCATCAAGTTAATAAATCTCTATATTCTAATAATATTTAAAATAGTATAAATAAGTATAAAACATTTAACACCAACAATGATTAATTTGCAACAGTTTATTTAGAATAAGCTTATCTTATTATCAAGAGTAACATTAATAATAAAAAAAATGAAGCGCTTCAACTTCTATAAAAAGGATTAGATCTAATAACTTAAGAAGTAGCATTATGGTAAAGTATAGTTTCAACTTTATCAGAAACTTAAACTAAATTTCAAAATAGTAATTTAAACCAATAAATTATTCAAAAATTAAATATTATTGGAACATATGCCAATAGCATAGAAGCCAATATTAAAGTAATTTAGAAATCTAAAAGACTAATAGATATAGTAGGAATAGACATTTTTTAAAATTTATTTTTTCATAAAATTTAAACCTTTTATATTGGATTAGAAAAGAATGAAGCACTAGAATAATGCAAAAAAATAGGACATCAAGAGTTTAAATTAATATTTAATGATCTCTCATATTCTCAAGACTTTTTTGACTTAGGTTAAGCTAAAATAATTATAAATTAAATCTATTAAGATGACAAAAATATCTAATTTACATTTTAATTAAATCAAATTCCAGTATCATAACTTACTAAAATACTTTAGTTTAAAAATACTTTTTAAAATCTTAATAAAGAAGGAGCTCTATAAATGTTGAAGTAAGAGTAAGGAGGATTATTCAAAAGATTAATATCCTCTTCATCAATACTTTTAAAACATGCTTAATAAAATTATGAAAAACTTTCTGTTTAAGATGCAATTAATAAAATTAATTAAGATATTCAATCAGATAATTTTGATATCGATCTAATAATTATTGATTCCAATTTTTCATAATTATAAGAAGAAATCAAAAATAAAACCCATTTGGATATTGAATTAATAGAATTAAATAAATAGACTCTTATAGAATTGCTAAATATTAGATTTGATTCATGTAATCTTATAATTATAAGTGATATTGAGGATATTAGTAAAATAGTTGGATTATCATTTATAAAAACAATAAATCATTTGAAAAAATAAAATTACATCTCCTATTCTAAGGAAGTAGCTTAAAATATTTTTAAATTTGACAACAATGAAAAACATGTTTAAATTATTTAAATTCCATTAATTCCCAAAAACAATATTAAAGAAGTATTGGAAAACTGTAAAGATTAAGCAAAATTCAAATTATAATTAAACTCTATTGAGACTTTAGAAGATTTAAATATAATTGATCATAATAATATTATTAATGCAAGATTTAGAATAAAATAATATCAATATATTGAAAAATTGTTAGATAATTTTAAACATAATTAATAAGAGTTTTAATTAATATTAAAACATTTAAATGCTGAAAAAATTTAGAAATATATAAATTTAGCAGAACTCAAACAATAAGATATTAAAATAATCAAAAAATAAAAGTTTAAAGAGTTTTTTAAAATTTACAAATTGACTGCATAATTAGAGTTATAAGAATTTGAAGCGAGAGGATTTAAAAATGTAATTGTTTTAAGTGAAAATAAAAGTTTTCCTTTTTATAATATTTTAATACTTGGAACTTTAGTATTATCTCAATGCATAGTTGGAGGTCTTTTAGTAGCAACTGGTTTAGGTAGTTTTATTGGAGGTATAATATTATCAGAAGGTGTATCTGATTTTATTAGTCTAATATAAGCTTGTTATAAAAGAGAATTATTATGGTCAGATTACTGTTAATAAAAGGCTTTTAGTATAATACTTACTATCATTACTTTAGGATTTGGGGGATTCAAAGAAGTTTAATTTGGTAGAAATTTTTTTAAAAGTTAAATTAGTGAAAAAGGTGTCAAATTAGTTTAAATAAACCATATTTTTCATTAGACATGGAGATATACTATCTCGGAACTTATTTATTCTTTAATACTCAAAGGTGGTAACCTTTTGGCTACTAAAATTGTTTCTAATTTACTTAGAATGGTGGAGCCTTTAATTTAATGTCTTCTCTTTGATATTGTTTAACAAAATTTCTATAAAACAGATACTATAAAATTAATTAATAAATTGTATGTGCTAGCTTAAATACTAAATAAATAGCTAATTAATTAAATTCAACCAAAAATTCATGAAATATTAACAAAAAATTGTTTAATTAATTGTTTGACTTCATGTATTGCCAGTATTTTACCCAAATCTACAATTCTTAATGATAATTTACAATCCTAAAACTCAATTATCACATATATATGTAGAGCTCTTAAAGCTGGTAAATCAATTTTCAATTAAAATCAATTAATATCCAATCTACATTAGCAATTTAAATTAGAATTGAAAAAAATGGCTAAAAATGACTATAATTTTTAAAGTATACTTTTACAATAATGTAAAAAAATACCAAATTTGTAAAAAAATGAATATATAAAAACTTTATCTAAAATTTTAACACCATCAGAAGATGAAATAGATAAAATTACTTATATTTAAATTACTGATGAGCATGAATAAGAATTTAAAAAATAAAATATACATCCTGATTTAATATCATTTTTTAAAAAATTAAGAGAATAAGATGAAAACTTCACTAAATCAGAAAATAAATTTATTTAAAATATTATTACTGAAATTACAGATTAATTAACTGAATAAGTACTTGGTATATTAGAATAATAAATTATAGCACCTTGGACAAATTATGGAATCAATTTGTGTACTTAAAATGCACAAGAAAAATATTTTTAATATATTTTTCTTGAGCATAACAACAATGATGAAAATTAAATCCAATAAAATAATGAATAGATTGAAGATAATAACTCAATATAAGAATAAACTGATGTAGATGAAAATAATGATTAAGAAGATAATGATATTAATTTGTCAGATAATAATAATAAGAAACAATAACAAACAATTACTTCAACTCCTATTGAATAAAAAAATAATCATAAAGAAAATCATACCATGGCAATGTAAATTCCTAATTCATAAATACAAAAAATTAATGAAACAGAATAACATTAAATTAAAGATATTAAAAATGAATCCGATTTAATGGAATCACCACAATAAAATGAAATTTAAAAACCTTATGAAATAGTTAATCCTAATAATAATGTTGAAAGTGAAGATGATGATTCATCATGTAATAAATGGTTAATTCGAGGTGGTATTGGTTTGGGTGGTCTATGTATTATAATTTTAGGAGGAAAATTTATAAAGTCATTTTATAAAGAGAATCTTAAAATTAATGAAAATGAAAGAAATTTAACTTCGGAGTAAACTTCTTAGGCATCAGAAGATTAATTAAATGAGGAATAAGACCAACCATGAAATTAATTGATCTATTTATTTCTAATAAAATAAATTTAATTTGTTTTATCAAACCAATCCATCTAATTTTAAAAATTATTAATTGATTGAGATACTTTTGTTTTTACTTATGTTATTTCTCAAAAGAATTTAACACATTCTCATCTTTAAAAACTTAATTAGTGATATATATATTCTCTAGTTTCAAATTCTGATCATTTTATTCTTATTTTTTCAACCAAAAGTTTCGATTAATTAAATTAAGTAAATAATATATTTAAAAAAATATAATAAAGAATGTCAATATTTTTATTTAATTTAAAAATACGCTATTGCTCATATTGTCTCTAAAACATTAGGGCAAAATAGAATAATAAAAAAGATTATAAATTATATTTATAAATATCTATTTCCAAAACTTAATTTGATTAAAAACAATAAATGTTATAGGAAATTGAAAAGAAGAATCTAATAAACATTGTTACACATATTTTAGAATAAGAGAGGAGAGATAAAATCAAATTTATTGATATACATTATCGATCCATTATAAAAGAATAGCTGAAATTCATTTCTGAAAATTTATCCAAAAATGCAGTAAATAAATGTAAGTATTTATAATTTTTATACTTTCTGAATGTAATAATAATTTTTACTTATTTGTGGTTATGGAATTAAAACAGAAAAATTCCTAATGAGGACTACTATAATTAATTTATTTAGAATTAAAATTAAGGTATAATAGAAGATATTAATATTACCTATGATGGTAATTGTTAAAAAGCATTCGGATATTAAGTAATATTATGATTAATAATAAATAGTATTCTCCATTATTCGAATATTTATGGCCAGGAACAGTTTATGGTTGTGATTGTACAAAAAATTTAACAATTCATGAAATTAATGAAATGGATGAAAATACATTTTTTGAAAAGTTTTTTTTCATTGGCAGAATGTGTAAATAAATTGAAGTTGAAAATAATTGTAAATCAATACAAAACTTTACTTCTAGAATATTAAGCTAATTAAATGATAATAGATTTTCTCAATGTAATAGCAAATTAAATTTAAATTTAGCTTTCATGTTATGTGCCAAAAGAAATGAGAAAATTTCCTTAAGATACAATAATAGCTATTGTTTAGAAGAAAATAAAACGATATGTGGAAAAGATTAATATTAATTTTGTTTGCCTTTTAATGCTACATGCCCAATAACTAAGATTGGATTTCTTTAAAATTTAGATGATCATGATATTTTTCGGATTCAATAAAATAATAGAAGTTATCGTATTATAAAAATAAATCAAGAATTTTACTTTTATTCTATAATTAATTCATCAGATAGATTGCCAATATCTTAAGTCTAATTGACAGAATCCGACAAAGTATGTTTATTAAATTCTTTAAACAATATATAGAAAGATAGAAATGAATATTATTTAATGAAAGTTAGAAGATAAAATTGTGAAAAAACAGATACTGCTTTTAAAAATGAATTTAATATATCAGAAGAATAATTATATTTAGCAAATAACTTAAGAAATTTAAAACACAACTTACCTTTTTTTCCAGTCTCTAAAATATAGAATTGGACTTTATAGACAAAAAGTTATATATAAATTAATCCTGAATGTTAAAACTCAGCTTTTTATGAAAAAATTCTAAATAAATCAACATTAACAATGAATCAAGAAATTTAAGATATTATGAATTACATTTTTATCTTAAATCTGCTACTACTCATAACTTTTATTATTGAGTATTCTTTAGATATTTCAGATTTTAAGTGTAGATTTTCACAAATTATTCAAAATTTCGAAAAAATTATTATGTTGTTAATCAATGTCTTAGAAATCTTATATATTTATTAAGAAATTCAATTTTCGAAATCATTTGAAGATTTCCAAAACTTTAATTATATGAACTGCATTCAAACAGGAAATTAGCCTGATATATTTAATTATATAGAAATGAAAGAATCTAAAGTATTTTGGATTGAATTTATTTTTTATCCAATTTAAATGGTATGCTTTTTAAGGATAATTTATGAATATGGAACTAATCTTAGAAATATCTGTAATCTTAGACCTGTCAATTCGTTGATAACAATGTTTCTTTAATGCAAAAACAGAATTCGTGATGAAGTCGCTTTTGAATGATTATAATCAAATATATATCCATATTCAATTGATTTATTATAAAATTTATCATTATTTTTTAAAGGCTAAATAGATATTTTATAGATATTAAATATTAAAATAAGTTCATTAATTTATATTAATATTGTTTTTATATAGTATTAAATTCAACTAAAAATAAAAAATAGTTGATAAGTTGATTTGATTATTCTGGTTTAATAATCAGAATTATCCAATTCTTTATCTCATTTTAATAATTTATTTTGGATAGATATTTAAAAATTTATTGATTTAATGCAGATATTATTGTTTTTAATCTAACTTATCAAATAATAATAGTTAAATCCTTTCATATTAATTAAATATAAGTCTAAAACTTGGTTTTTCTAATTGATGAAATAACGGAGAAGCCGCTGTTAAGTAGATTATAATTTTATTCCTTAATCGTATAATATAAATAAAAAGATGTAGATATTTCTTTTAATTAATTAGAAAATTGGCTCAACTCTGAATAAGACTCTAAACCATAATCAATTATATTGGTTTAAACATGAATAATGTTATAATACTAATTTTGGTATGTGATAGTTGAAAATATAAAATAATTGTATTAATATTATATAAATAGCTTATGAAATAATGATTTGAACCCATAATTAAAAAAAAAATAAAAATATATATAAAGAAAAAAAAATAGGCATTACAAAAAACAAAAACAAAAAAAAAAGTAATCAATTTGTCGTTTGACGAATTATAATGCCAAGTTTAAACCAATGTTATTGGTTGTGGGTTAGAATCCTATTCCGGATATTGAGCCCATTTTCTAATTTAATCAAACGAAATACATTTTTATTATTTAATTACAGATTGATTGTCCTAAAATATATAAAAGCAATTTAACATAGATTGTCAATTATTTATTTGAAGGCTAATTTAAAATTCGATTAGATAAAGAAAAGAAACAAATTATCAGATTTTATCATTTAAGAAAGAGAATTATAATTAAAAAAATCTTTTCTGATTTTTAAAACAAAAATGAAGAATATGCTTAATAAAAGTCTTTTTAAATGTTTTCATGAAATGCCAGTAATTTATTAATATGCAAATTTATCAAAAGACTTATTGAACCAAATAAGCTATTAATGTAGCTGAAACTTTTTTACAAATGTTTAAAATGAAATTCAATATTATTAATCTGATACAGTATTTTTCAATGGCAGTGGGATTAATCTTGGCCTATTTGGAAAAGTAAAATTATTATAAAAAATTAGTTACTTATCTATGAGTGGTCAATAAATACTACTACTTGAAAACTAACATTAAATCAAAAAAATTGATCATTTTTATTTGATTTTGAGGAAAGATTTATAATCAAAATGAAAGGAATCATTAAATAGAATAATTTAAATAAAGGGAGATTTTTATAATAAAAAAAAAATTAGATAAATATTAGAAAATCAGAGTCTATTTCGAAAAGAAGATTATTTTGTAGATTAAAACAACCAAAATTTTTAATAAATTTATATATCTTGATGATTTTCAAAATAATTAAAACAAATAATGATACGTAAATGATTTAAAATAAGTAAAATAGTTTTTATATATTAAATAACATTTAGAGACTTTTATATAAATGAAAATAGATTTAATAATCTGTGAGAATTGGAATAAAGAATACAAAGAATTAATTTTAAAAATGCAATTGTAATTGTTTAATAACTACAATTTAAAAATATTGAAATCTTGGCTTTCAAAGAAGTTTCCCAGAAGAATATAGAGAAAAGTTAGAAAAAGACTCAATAAATTAAAGAAGTAATTCCTCTTGAGACAAAGATAAAGAATATAAATATAAAAAAATTAAGAGATGACAAATAACATAACAGAATTAATGAGCAAATAAGATATAATATAAATAAATGAATATGATAAAATAAAGAAATAGAATTTTTTATGAAGAAAAAAAAGTTTTAATTGACAGCATGAAAAAGGAATCTACAATGATCCTAAGAAGAAAATTTAAACATAATAAAGTATAATATTTGAATTAAATTTTATTAGTTTGCCAAAATAATAACTTATTCTTATTCATCTCACTATTTCATGATTCTTTCCTAAGTAATCTTGAATATCGGCTTATACATCATTATTATTAAAACAANATGCTTAATAAAAGTCTTTTTAAATGTTTTCATGAAATGCCAGTAATTTATTAATATGCAAATTTATCAAAAGACTTATTGAACCAAATAAGCTATTAATGTAGCTGAAACTTTTTTACAAATGTTTAAAATGAAATTCAATATTATTAATCTGATACAGTATTTTTCAATGGCAGTGGGATTAATCTTGGCCTATTTGGAAAAGTAAAATTATTATAAAAAATTAGTTACTTATCTATGAGTGGTCAATAAATACTACTACTTGAAAACTAACATTAAATCAAAAAAATTGATCATTTTTATTTGATTTTGAGGAAAGATTTATAATCAAAATGAAAGGAATCATTAAATAGAATAATTTAAATAAAGGGAGATTTTTATAATAAAAAAAAAATTAGATAAATATTAGAAAATCAGAGTCTATTTCGAAAAGAAGATTATTTTGTAGATTAAAACAACCAAAATTTTTAATAAATTTATATATCTTGATGATTTTCAAAATAATTAAAACAAATAATGATACGTAAATGATTTAAAATAAGTAAAATAGTTTTTATATATTAAATAACATTTAGAGACTTTTATATAAATGAAAATAGATTTAATAATCTGTGAGAATTGGAATAAAGAATACAAAGAATTAATTTTAAAAATGCAATTGTAATTGTTTAATAACTACAATTTAAAAATATTGAAATCTTGGCTTTCAAAGAAGTTTCCCAGAAGAATATAGAGAAAAGTTAGAAAAAGACTCAATAAATTAAAGAAGTAATTCCTCTTGAGACAAAGATAAAGAATATAAATATAAAAAAATTAAGAGATGACAAATAACATAACAGAATTAATGAGCAAATAAGATATAATATAAATAAATGAATATGATAAAATAAAGAAATAGAATTTTTTATGAAGAAAAAAAAGTTTTAATTGACAGCATGAAAAAGGAATCTACAATGATCCTAAGAAGAAAATTTAAACATAATAAAGTATAATATTTGAATTAAATTTTATTAGTTTGCCAAAATAATAACTTATTCTTATTCATCTCACTATTTCATGATTCTTTCCTAAGTAATCTTGAATATCGGCTTATACATCATTATTATTAAAACAATTTTCGCAAAAGTGCATATCAGAGCATTCTGGACATTTGCATTAAAAGCATACTTTATTTTAAATCAACTCAGAACAGTAGTCACAATAAAAAGGTCCCTCGTTATATTCATTTTATACAAGTGGATCACCTAAATTATTATCAATTTAATGCAAGCTTTATTTCAAAGCTTCATTTTATTTGTTATCATCTTCATTGATATTATCCTATATTTGTTATTCATTAAAAGAAGGTGTCATTTTTTATGTATTTGATCTAGACTCCTATCTTTATATTTACTACCCAAATGATATTGACTAACTCTCTTGTATTTATGAAGATTTAACCATATCATTTATATCCTCTAAATCTATCTCTAAACCTGGATATACTTATTAAATTGCATCTCTTACAGTGTACTAAAAAAACTGTTTTTCTTCTTTAACTGGATATTCTTGGCTTTATTATTATTAAGCAAAAGTCATTTCTTTTGTAAGTTTGAGATTTTCTATTCCTATCAAATTACTAGCATGCACTTATTGACAATTAGATTAGAGCATTGATTATTAAAATTATTGCTTTTGATTAAGTTACGGAAAGTTAGGTAGAAATTCTTAAATATAAAGACGTAATGTTTAATTTAGTTTTTCTGTGGCATCAACACAATATTTAAGATCTTGTGGTCTAAATATTGTTATCATCTCGTTATCCTCATCTTTCCATTTAATTTTGTACTGTAATTTGGTAATCCTTTCTTTAATGTACTTATCTATACAATTCAGATCTTAAACATCATGATAAAGATAAACATAATCTCCAAATATTAATTTAATTTTCATTAAAAATAATAATAACAATATCATTTGTCTTCGATTTATAAAATGACTTTTTTGATATTTTATTCTTGTATACTTTCTCTTAAAAATATTATTGAATTATGGTTATTTAAATTATAAACTTCATCGGAGTCAATCCATTTAACTTAAAAGGAATCTTTAGTTATGTGTTATTGTATAAATGCTTTCAGTAGGTTGTATTCTAATTAATCTCTGTAGATATATGTGAATCCCAAATATTGTAATTTTATGATTTCCATTTAGGCAATTAAAAAATATAATTATAATCATTTTTAGTTCATTGCACTTTTAGTTCTATGAATGATTCTACTTTTTCTTTGAGTAAGATTTAATTATTCATGTTCGTTTTTGAATTAAGGAGAACTTTGTACTTTGTTATCATTGTTTTAAAGTTGCTTTGTGATAGCATCATCAATTTAGAAAGTGTAATTCCTGATGTGCCTGCCAGTCCTTTTTAGAGGGCTTTTATGATGTGGGGTATGCTTTTGTCTTTGGATAATACCCTATTTATTGGGAGAAAAAAAAATAGGTGTTTATCCTCCTTGACAAGAGCCAGGTGATTAGATTTCATCTTCAGAATGAATAGAATCTTCTAGATATTATTATTTAAGATTCTATTCAATGATTCGTTATTAGAATTTAGAGGGGGGTATTAGATTATGATAATTAAGATTGTTTTCTTGATTATCTTATTTTTGGTTATGAATCTTAGTATTGAATAATATGAGTTATTTTTTGAGTGGTAAAGAAGGATTCACAAGATTCTTAAGTGATTTAAGATGATAGAAAGCTTTTTCATATTGCCATTATTTAAATTTAATAAAGTAGGCAATAATAATAGCTGCACTCCAATTGAGTCCATTTGCACAACATACTAAAACAGAAGAATGATTAATTTCTTTGGAAATGATAGTTGTAATTCTATCAAAGGTTTGAATGATATCTGTTAAATTTTCATCAACTTTCTGAATAAGAAAATAGAAAATACATAATAGGTGACAAAATGTGTGAATAGTTTGTAATTATGTTATCCAACGACAATGATGGTTTTGATATTTTTTAATTGAAAGTATTGAATGGATTCTAAGACATGAACATTTCCTTGATAGAGTTTATGAAGTTTGTGTTCCATAACTGTGAAGAGAAATGCGGAATTATGCATTGAAAATGGTGTAATTAAATTATTTAGTATATATATTAAAAATGTAAATAATACGTAATAGGTTGATGGTGAATCAGATTCCAAGATTCGGTTTTAAATACTTGAATGACAGTACATTTCTGAATGAAGATCATCTATAGATATAGAAGGCAGCATTAGACTTTGCAAAAGAGAAGATGTAACCATATTCAGCAGAATGGGATAAGAAACATCATTTTCCAAAGGATGTATTACGTGAATTGGCAGCAATGGGATTTTCAACAATATATGTAAAATAGGAATCAGGTAAAGTATTAATAAATGATGGTTAGGTGGTGTTGGTTTAGATCGTTTAACAGCAAGTGTAATATTTGAAGCTCTATCATATGGAGATGTAACAACAACAGCCTATTTAACAATTTAAAATATGTGTGCTTATATGGTGGATTAATTTGGTAATGAAGAATAAAAATAAACATGGATACCTAGATTTGGTACATTTGATGCATTTGCATCATATTGTTTAACAGAACCAAATAGTGGTAGTGATAGTAAGAATATGAAGACATTTGCAAAGAAAGTATAATATAATTAATGATATAGGATGGAAATGATTATGTAATAAATGGATCTAAATGTTTTATTTCTGGAGGTTCAGTTAGTGATGTTTATTTATTAATGTGTAAGACATCAGAAAAAGATGTTTCATGTATAATTGTTGAAAAAGGTACTCCTGGATTATCATTTGGGAAACTTGAAGATAAAATGGGATGGAATGCTTCACCTACAGCTATGGTACTTTTTGACAATGTACGAGTACCTTAATCAAATCTCTTAGGAAAAGAAGGATATGGATTCAAAATGGCTATGAGTGCATTAGATGGTGGAAGAATTAATATTGCATCATGTTCTCTAGGAGGTGCTTCATATGCATTTGATCTAACAAAAGATTATTTACATGGTTATTATAATATTAATAATAATAGATCGTAAATAATTTGGATAACCACTTGCTTAATTTTAAGGATTATAATTTAAATTTGCAGATATGGCTACTAATCTTGTTACTTCAAGATTAATTGTAAGATAAGCTGCATAAATGATTGATAATAATCATCCTGATAAAACTTTATATTCTGCTATGGCTAAGAGATATGCAACAGATAGTTGTTTCAATGTTGCCAATGAAGCATTATAACTTCATGGAGGTTATGGATATTTAAGAGAATATTAAATAGAAAGGTTATTATTATATTTATCATTATAGAATAGTAAGAGATTTAAGAGTTCATCAAATTCTTGAAGGTACCAATGAGATTATGAAAGTCATCATCTCTAGAAATTTATTAAAATGATATATCATAATATAACACAATTATTAATTAATTAATCAATGTCTCAAATCTTATCATTCCTCTAACCAACTTACTCTCCTACCTTAATCCCATATACCATTCTTCATCTTTCCATCTGGTAATACATATTTACCTCTACCATGTTATTTCCCATCTTACCAATCTCCATCATAATATCTTCCATCTGGCCATGTATATTTACCAATTCCTTATTTCTTATCATCTACATATTATCCTTCATATGATCTACCATCTGACCATTAATAATATCCTATTCCATGCATCTTATTATCTTTCCATTATCCTTTATAAATTCTACCATCTGTCCAATAATACTCTCCCTTAATCAATATAATCTTAATATAATTACATAACCATTTATTTTATTGTCAATCCAATCACCTTCATAATAACTACCATCTGGCCAAATATATTTCCCCTTTCCTTACTTTTTACCTTCAAAATAATCACCATTGTAACTAGATTTATCAACCCCTTAATTATTAATTCTTCATTACATCTTTCTTCACCTTTCCCATGTTATAAATCACTCTTCCAATAACCTTCATACACTGCTCCATTATTTTACTTATATATTCCATATCCATTAGCTCTATCATCTCCCCATTCTCCTATATATGAATCACCATCCACATGATAAAATTACCCTTTCCCACAAGCTTTATTATCAACCCATTCACCATCATATTTAGCACTATCTGGCCATATCTATACTCCTCTACCATCTCGTTTATTACCTATCCATTCTCCTTCATATGTAGCTCCACTCTTAAATACAAATAAAGCACGTCTTTCTCTTGTTTTTTAATTACTTGAACTATTTACTATTCTATTACTATAATCCTTATTACCTCCTAACTCTTCACTATTGAAATATTAAACATTCTTTTTTCTCTCTTTACTTGCTATTGTTACCTAATCAAACTACTGTTATTCTTAATTCTTTTCCTGTTCCTTATTATTCTTCTCTGATAAAGTTTTCTTCACCTCTTTATAACTCTATCTTGTTTTATGTCCCTTCCATATTTTTTATATCACAATAGCCTTTTCATTCAAATTCTTATTTCCCTATTTCTCCTACTCCTAATCTTCTGCAAACACTGAAAACTTTGCATTCTTCTACTCTGTTGGAACACACCCCTTCTATTTCAAATCATTCTATTCATTCCTTTATTCATTACCTCATCCAATTAACTATTTTAAGATTACTATGAAACTGAAGACAATGCTCTTCTTTAACTATCAGACTTTTTTGTAACCTCTACTTCATTTATTATCTCCAATTTATCTTTCTAACATTAATTGCAATTCGAACAATTTCCTCCCATATAATTTATTATTTTTATATTTTCATCTCTTCACTCTCTCAATCTTATTCTTCTCTCAATCTGAGATCAAGAACTAAACTAAATAAATCATCTTTGTAATAAAAGCATAGATAAAATAAACAGAAAATGTTATTCAAAAAAACTTGATTTTATTATCAAATGTTCACTTACTCTAACAAAAATATTTTTATAATTTATTATTGGAATACATTTTCTTTATTATCAATAAATTTCGAAATATGGTTAGTTTAACTCTAACATTAAAATTATTTAATATTCAAGTTTAATTCTTTTTATTTGGAATATTTAATTTATTCAAATTTTAGATAACAAAATTTTTGCACTTTATTAGAGATTTTAGTGGTGAAGGATAAATTAAATTAAAAAGTTGGAGTTTACATATTCTAATCTTTTTTTAATAGAAAACAAGTATTGAAGAAGCTTTGAATAAAATTCCTTAAATTTATAAATATTTTTTATATGATTCTACTCAAGTAATTTTTCTTCTCTTTACATCATTTTCCCCTAAAATTGAAAGAATGGATTTTAGAACAAAAGATATTTGGAAACTATTATGAAAAATAGATATTTTTATGCCAGCAAAAATTTCGAGTACAGTTCCTTCATAATACTTGTTTTATTTAAGCTCAATTTTAAATTAAATATTATTAGAATCTCTTAGATCTTTTAAAATTATCAAAAGTAAAAGAAATATTATTACCCTTAAAATTAATCTGAAAAATTTATATTGTTCTAATAATGAAAAGAAAAAAAAACTATTTTAGCATATTTTAGATTACTACTTACTACAATACAAAATATTTAAGAAATAGATCAAGCAAAAAAATTATTTTATATAGGATTTAAATTAAAAGATTTTGTAAGATGTTAAATATTAACCTTATTTTTTAATTTTTTTTCTAAAGGAAGTTATGAATATTTCAATATTTTTACTTTTTTACAAAAATTGCTTTTTAATAATTATAATTATCAATTATCTAATTATTTAATCATCTATAAATGGAAAATTAATGAATAAATATTTAATCTTTTATCACTGACATTTTAACCTTATCTTATAACCTATTCAAAAACAACAATAAAACAAAAATAAATTTTTTATATAATATAATTTAAATCATTTGTTATTCATTAGGAATCAATCATACTAGTTTCAGATCAAAGCTTTCATAATTTTTTTTTATATTGAGTAGCTAACTCACTATTCAATAAATCATTTTTTTGAATTATATCTACAAAAATTCTATAAATAAATGAAAATAAATAATAGTTCTTTAAATAAATTAAATGATATGTAAACACAAGAATAAGTATTTCAAATAGATTCTAACCTTAGTTAAATTTATTATAGATAAAAATATTAAAAACAAGAATTGTTAATAGATTTTTATATATATAATTGAATTTTTATAAGAAATCTAATTAACATTGATAAATGGGAATTATATGAATGACATTTTATAGGATATTAGGATGTCAATTTATAAATATATATAATATGATAATAAAATCAATCCCATTTATAATTTGTTTGTCTTCCCTCTTTTTAATACATTTCAGCTTCCTCTTACTTTTTCTTTTTTTGTTCAAATTCAATTTATGATTATGGTGTCAAACCTCTTTTTTCATAATTTTATAATCTTCTTTCTGCTGCTTAAGCAATTAATTCCTAATTTAAGTAAGATATTGATAAACATTTTGACTGAGTTATTAATTAGAATCACCACCAATAGTTCGATTGGATTTTTCTATAAAAATTAATGAATGATTACTTTTTTGATAATTGAAATCATCATAATTTGACGAGTTTTGTGATTCAGATTGAATTAGACATCCCATAATGTAAATTAATAATAATAATCAATTTTATTCATGATTTCCTACTTATCCTTCTAGATTGGTGATTCTTAAATGTAGTTCATTTAATTTAATGGATAAAGCAGTTTTTTCACCTTTGAGATGAGTTAGTTAAGTTTGAATTCTTGAATTTTCTGCCAATTAATATCCAACTTCTCTCTTTAATTCATCATCTAAATGACTTATATTGTAAATGATAATACATTAATTCATTTTAAAGTGTTTTTAACATATCCTCAGTTTTATTAGATAATATCGATTCAAATTCATCTTTAAGTTATTTTAATGATTAGTATTCTTTTCTATGCATTTCAACAGAATCAGCAACTTCATACATAAGTGATTCTAATGAAGAGATTTTACCTTTTAATGAAGCATTATTTTATGAATTTTCAATTGAATTAGAAGAAATGCTAAATGAACTATAATGAGTTTTTTACATTTTAATATATATTGATAATAATCATCTTTTCTTTTTCAATGATTTCATATATCTAATAAATTACTTTTCTCTTTTAGTTCCATTACTTTCAAGATCACAACTTTAAATTATACTTTATAATTATTCTTCTTTTAGATTTTCATTAAATTCTGATGTTGATTCCCTAAAATCATCAATTGTAATATATCCTAATTGAAATCAAAGAGACATTATTTTTGTAATTTAAATCAATTTAATAGAAAATATTTACAAAATCATCATCTCTATCCGTCTCTAAATGAATGTGTAAACATCATTCTTACAAATTCTCAAAATTCAATTATACAACTTTAATCTTAATCAATATCTGTTATCATTTAAGAAAGAACATGCTTTTTTGGTAAATATTTACAAACTAAAGCAAACACTTTTTTTAAATTCTATTACATCATTATTATTTGAATACAAAAATCAAAGATCTTTTTAAAGAAAATTATATCTATTTTTGTAGTTGTTCCTGTATTATAATCATTTGGATCAAATTTTGGTTCAGGCAGTATATATTTATTTTAGATGGGCTTAATCGTTAAGAAGGTGGAATTAATTAAGATAAATTAATTTTATTTAGAAATTAAGTTGGTGTTGAAATAGTATTTTTCTTATTATTCCTATTATAATTAAATTAGATTATTAATAAAATTATTCATTATTCCTATTTCAAATTCATTAAATTGGATTCATCTCCTAAATCAAAATCTTTCAAACTGAAATCACATTTGTTTTATCTTCCCATTTCTGAAGTTACACTCTTAGTTGAAGTGATAAATTTCATAAATTTATTTTGTCTATCTTTCCTTAAAGCTGGTTACTTAGACTCTTCAATTTATTTGATTAGTTCATATTTAAGAAAATGAGACTCTTTATTAAATTAAGGTATATTACACTCTTTTTATCACAATTCATTATTGTAATACTCTTAATATTAAGTCGATTATTGGATTCCTCAATGAAACTAATGTAGTCTTATAATATGTTACTCAATAACTGATCTAACAAGAACTTCAGAACTAAAGGATCTACTTAATTTGATGGGACAATCACAAATCAAAATGTCTTTATACTGATCATCATTCAATTATGTCAAACTATTTATATTATTATTACTATTATACCATTCTTTGAATCCATTATAATATTAAAACAAATCTTTTTCTGACTAAATAAATAAGATAATTTTATACTTCGAATACTCCTACTCTATAAAATGTAATACATTTAAAGTTACCCATTTCTAAATTTTTAATGTAGACTTATTCAAAACCCACTAAAAATATACTAATAGTTATAACTTTTGCAAAGAGTGTCATAAACTTATCTTTTATAAGTTGATAATAAAGATATTTTCTCAGGATTTGTATATAAGCAGACTCAAATATGAGATATATTTATTACTTACACTCTCACCTGATTCTATTGAAATATCTCCTAATTTTACAGTTATTTTGACATTTAAATATTCACGAAATATAACTAATTCATTATTTTATACATGGTATTCTTTGTCTCTAGAAAGAAAACATATTCCTTCTTAATTACCCATATGATATTATGTATAATAAATAATAAACACATTATATACAAATTTTCATTAATTAAAATGAATTCTTCTACCCCATTCTAGACTATCCATAAGATTTTAGAATTATTATTCAGTGATTTCGGTACCCATTTGATTAGACATGGTTCTTTCTCCTGTCATAATATCTTAAGCAAGAATCATATCATCTGAACATGCATCAACATGATTATATTAATCAAACCATGGATGTAAAGGTATTTCTAATAAATAGAATGAGTACCTTCTGCAGTTAATCTTTAATGAGGATGTGGTTTGAGTAATCTTTTAATAAGATCTCTTTAAAGTTAATTCAATTTAAGGAATTCTTAAGAATATTGAAATTATGGATCTAATGAAGTAATTTACTCAATAGTTTCACTAATTGTTTCAGCATAAAATGGTAAAGTTTAACAAAGCATCTAATAGAGTATGATCCCAATAGACCAGACGTCGACTCAATATAAATATTATAGATATACCTTTTTCATCATAACCTCCACCTAAAAAGACTTCTGGAGCCTAATATAAGATGGTTCCAGTTGCAGTCCACATTTCAGTAAAGGTGTCTCTGTATTTAAATCTTTTTGATACACCAAAATCAATTAATTTAATCTAAATGTTTGGTTCAGTTTAAATTAGAATATTTTCTGGTTTTAAATCTCTGTGTGAGATTCCTCTTTAATGAATTTGACCAATAACTTGAGCCAATTATTTAATTGTGTCTTATTTCTATCTCAAAGATAGGTTGCGTTGCACTTATTCTAAATTAGGCACATCGCATAATTCTATCACTTGATAATGATGTTTTGTTTATTAGTCAATGAATAGATCAAATGTTCGGCACACTTAAGGAATATCTTGTAATTATCTTTATAAATTGAATGTATGTATTATAGTATTGACAATTTCTGGATCATCAGTTCTAAAGCATTTTACTGCATAAACTTATATTGGTTTAGGCATTAATGACTTTGTACTTCTTTATTTTGGTATTTTATAACATTTTCTAACAACAGAATGTGCTCCTTCACCTATAATATAATTTATATGCAGTACCTATCTATTCCTATAATACATATGCATCTTTGAATCGTTATGCTGATTATACTTATTCCTATTGTATAATTACATTTTCAATATCAACAGATCTTCTAATTCTAAGTCCTTGTTTACCAAACAATTGAGTCTTAAGTTAATTTCTAATATTTTCCTTATGCATATTAATATGAGTGAGCATATATAAATCCAATTAAATTAATTATGAATCGTCTTACAAATGGTGTGATAGGATTAGCTTTAAAAAACTCTTGGTTTTTTAGTACAGCTAAAAAGGCTAAAATGGAATTGACAGTCAGAACTCCATACAAAACAATTCTTGATAAATTTGATGGTTTTTCAAGAATAGTAGCTAAGACAAATGAAGTAGTTAATTTATATAAATTAGGCTGCACTTATAATATAAAATCGTACTCCTGCTGCAGTGTATATATTACCACCAGGGCCTTTGAAAATAAAATTCACTTAAGATGTAAAAGGAATAACAGGAGATTTCTTACATTTAGGAGGCTATGTATTTGTAAATCCGTAAATAATCATGATTATAAATAATAGAGATAATTCTTGTGAAATAAATTTATTAGATGTAGTTGATAGAAAAGAAGCAAAAGTAGATTAATTTGATAAAGCTGATGTAAAAGATGCAGATACAGTTGCAGGAAGATATGCAGGTAAAATAAGAAGAGCTGCATAACGTACATTTATCAAAAAAGCTACAGCATGATTTATAATACAAAAATAATAATTTAATGCATTATTTGAATTATTATATATAGTATATATATATTATATATAGAAATATATTAATGAGTCTATTAATATAAAATTACATCTTAAATGAATATGATATCATATGATGTCATTTTAGCATTTAAAACCTAATTAATTGTCTTACTAATTAAAATAAAAATTAACAATTACATGAAGATCATCTTGTTAATACTATTGAGCCAGTTATTATTGGTTCATTCTTAAGAGTCTGAAGATATTATAGGATATATGTATGTATTTGCATAGGAATGGCCTGGATCAATTTGTAAATTTTAAAAGTGTACCAAAACCTATATGGGTAACTATGATAATGCAAGATGGAATAATCATGGACTATGGCCTAATACTATGTTATCTACATCATGTGGATTTATATAAAATTGTAGAGATGAAACATATGATGAAAATAAATTAACTGTAGCTACTAAAACATTGATAGATGTTACATGGAATGGGATGTATTCAGATACATTTACATTCAGAAAGTAAACTATTTATATATTTATATTAGACATGAATGGGAAAAACATGGTACGTGTCATCCAGATAATTTAACATAAAATGGATATATGTCTAAAGTTGGTAATTTAAACAACCAATATAATTACTATAAAATATTGGCATCAGTTGGAATCTATCCTGATAATGAAAGACAATTGACTGATACTGAATTCAGAGCTCCATTTACTAAAACATTAGGTATTTCTACCGCCATGACTTATACTTGTTAAAAAGATTGTATTTTCCTTTTATTTAATTTAGCAAACACTGGAAAGTTTTATATTGCTGAAGTTAGAACATGTTTTACTTAAGCTATGAAACCTAGAACTTGTGATTGCAGTAAACCAGTTAGCGCATTTGTCACTTGTGGTAAAACATTTTATTATCCAACATTTTCATTATCTGAATAACAATAAGTTCAATTTGAAGAAATCCCTGATTTGACTGATGCATTTTTATAATGAATTAAAACAATTATTCTTTTATTTCATTAATATATATATATTATATTCAAAAACGAATATTGATGATATTCTGGAATAGATTTATGTCATGGATACCTGCCATCATTTTATTAGGCATCTTTATATTCATTTATAGTATATATTTTGTGGTATTTTATTTGCAATAATATTTAGTACAACATTCGATCTAATTTCAATGGATTAAATTTGGAAACAGTGATTTTACACATTTTAATATTAATGTTCATTATATCATTGTTTCGAGCAATGGTAATAGAACCTGGTACAATAAAATAAGTATTTTATATGGTAAAATATTGAGGAACTTATAGATTAAACTTGGATCTAATGGGAATAATATTAACAATAAGAGAAAGAGAAAGAGAAAGAGAGAATAACAGAATGTCGACAGAGAAGAAGTTAAAGATCAGTAAAGACATTTAAGACAGAAAATGATGAGGATAGAAGTGTAGTAAATATGGATGCAGACGAGAATTTAGAAGATTATTTTAATATGAAAAAAGATGATAATAAATAAGGAAGAGAAAAAAGATTCTGTAAAAAATGTTGCATTCCAAAACCTTTAAGAACACATCATTGTTCTTAATGTAGATGCTGTTGGTAAAGAATGGATCATCATTGTTAATGGATAAATAATTGTGTAGCCAAAGACAATTATAAAATATTTATTTCAATGATATTTTATGCTAGTAATTATTAATAAATTTAATTATAGAGGCTGTCTTTTAGTTTGGGTTTCAATATCTTAATATAGGGTATTCTTAAATGTAATTGAAACAGATGTGTCAGACTTTATATTATTTATAATAGTACTTCACTATTATTTTGTTCTTTTGATTGCAGTTCTAATTACAGGTTTCTTTATATTCCATTTATATTTGATATCATAAAATAAAACTACTCTTGAGTAATTAGAAGATAAACCAGATGTATTACTACTAAATCATTATTTTAGAGATAAAATTATAATTAAGGAGTTTGGTAAAATTTTAAAACCATAATGGGACCTAATATTCTATTATGGTTTTTACCAGTTTAATGATATATTATAATATCATCAAAATAAATTATATATTAAGAAACTATATAAGTTAAATCATTTATTATCATCTTTAGGTATAAAATCCCAAGTCTTTTTCTTATTATTTTATCAAATTAGTAAGATTTTACTTTATTTCTAATCTTCTTGTTGTCATTGGAGATCTGTCTAAAGATTTTTTTGATAAAGATTTTAATAATATTGAAGCAGAACAAGTACTTATTCCTTTACCTTAAAAATTTGAAGAACTTGGAACAGAATAAATTGATATTTAATATTTATTCTTACTCTATTAAAATAAATAATATTCTGTACTTAATTAATTTCTACTTTTCTTTTGATTTCTTAATCTTCTTTCTTTCCCTTCCATTATCTTTCTGTTTAACAATATCTCTATTATACAATTTAATCATATTGATTCATTAGCTGTTGAAAATTTATTTTATTATCAGGAATTTAGGGTATTAATAATTTTGGTATGATAACATTTTTATTTATATTAATATTTCCTACTTATTTTACATTCTTTTTAGTTATGCTAGTTTTCTTTGGTAAAAGTTTCATCAATTAACTATTTGTAAATTTGTTTATATCTCTTATTACTATTGAAATATCCTTATCATTTTATTAATAATATAACTAATGTACAGAATTAGAAGTATTCAAATAGTTCATTTTTCTATTTGTAATTGGTTGCATCTTCTAAAAAGATATATTAGAACTTGAATAAATATTATGTTCTGAAGTTTCATAACTTATTTATCTATTTTCATATTAATCGATATCAGATGATAAACTATTAAAAATAACAGAAATACTCAATATTTTAGGTTGTATTGAAAAGGATTGGATAATTATTGGTGGCTGCCACATAGTTTACAGGTTATTTTTACAATTTTTACAGTTTAGTGTTTCGCTTCAAAACAATCTGATGTGCTGTAACGATTAACAAATTGGGTATTGGAATCTGAGACACAATTGATTGATTATACGCTATAGTACCTTGAATTGTAGTTTGCAAATTATTTATTTCTACTCAAATCTATTGTAATATTTTGTTAAATATTCATTATCATCATTAAAGTACAACAAATCCTTATATAATATAACATGATCTATTGCCAAATTTCCCAATATTTCTGATATTGATTTGCCAAAATAAAAATGAAAAGAATTATAATACCTATTAAAATGGTCAAATTTAATACTTCTTCTTTAAATAATCAATTTAGAATTATGATAAAGAACTTTAACATAATCTACATTCTTTATATTATTTATATTACATAATTTTAATAATTATTTTATTCTAATCTAACACAACTACAAAATTTTTAAATAACACTTAAATCACTTCTATATACTTTCTAAGATCTTTCTATTGATCTTTTCAAATCTACTTTTCTTAACAAAAATTTTTAAAACTTTAATATCTCTTGCTTTTATCTGTTTTATTTTTTAATCTTCCTTATAACCATCTCCTAAATATATTTGTTGATGGTCTACTTAATAATTATATGAATTCAAAGATAATTTTATTCTTTAAAATTAAAAAATTTTAGTAAATTAGTCTTATTTTTTATCATCAAGAACTTTTGAGGAATAGAAAAATCCAATAAATTAAAATAAATTAGACAAATCCAATAAGCTAAATCTTGATTTTAAATGAGATATACTTGAATTGATGAAATGAAGTAAATATGTTATATTATTAATCTTATGGCAATTAAAGATAATCATTATTAAAATAACTTAGATTTATTATAAACTGTAAATAAATTTGAGTTATTACTCCAGTATTAGACTTAATTTATAATTTAATCAAAAGTTAAGTGTAATTGTTTATAAAATGTGTTTTTCTTGAATGTTGAAATATAAATTCATCCTAAGTCTTATATTGTGGATTTATTTGCATGAAAATAAACCCATTAATTAAAATTTTTAATTATAATAAGAAATATAAAATGGATTCAAAAAAACTTAGTAAAATTATTGAACTGATTTCTCTATCTATCGCAATAAGAATAAAAAATAATATAGACATCAAAATGATTACCAGTGTTAACTTGTCTAATGAAAACTGATTTTAATTATTCAATTTCATTTTCATGTTATTCTTTATGGATTTCAATAGATGAAAAAGTTAAGTCTCTTCTGGTAATCAATATTCATAAGCATATTTTAGTTTATGGTATTGATTTGAATCTTAATTTTAATATATTTAATTCAGCTATTATCAGTTGGGTCTATTTTGACTGCAACTCAAAAAATAATCCTGTTTGGGGATACTTACACCGTGTTCATATCTTTTTTATTTTTATTAGAATTGTCAATGTAATTAGATTAGCTCTATTTTAGCCATCAATTCTTATAAAGTAAATCAAACTTAAGTTAGTAATTCTAAACATTTATTATTAGCTAGTTCATTATAGAATCTTTAATAGATTGACCTCAATTTATTTCCTCAAATAAACAAGGGCCTTAAGTTAATATTTATCAAATAAAAATTCATTCCAATTTATATTAACTTTAAATTATTATTTAGTCTAAAACTAAAATTACTTATCAAACTCTTTCAAATATTATACAAACATTTAATAACTTTCCTTATTATCTAACACCTTTATTTAATAATTTATTTTATTTTCTGTTTCACTATGAAAAATTCAAAATTGAATAAAGTTCAAACGAATTTTTGTTCCATTCATTCAATCTATTCAATTCTCCAAAATTCACTTATTTTTCAGTCAATTCAAATTTCAACCTAGGAAATTAATCATTTTTTTTATCTCAAAGAACAAAAAAATAAAATAAAATTTAAAAAGTTACATAAAATAATTTTATTTAAATTAAATCTTACCAATTTAAACAAATTTTATGAAATCTGATTAATGGTCAACAAAGCCTTTCATTAAATCATACAATTTGAGATTAATAAAAACTGACTTTTAATTTAGAATTGATGCAATAAGCTTTTATAATTATAATTAATTTTCGACTAATTGTTTAAAGAATTTAATATNGAAATATAAAATGGATTCAAAAAAACTTAGTAAAATTATTGAACTGATTTCTCTATCTATCGCAATAAGAATAAAAAATAATATAGACATCAAAATGATTACCAGTGTTAACTTGTCTAATGAAAACTGATTTTAATTATTCAATTTCATTTTCATGTTATTCTTTATGGATTTCAATAGATGAAAAAGTTAAGTCTCTTCTGGTAATCAATATTCATAAGCATATTTTAGTTTATGGTATTGATTTGAATCTTAATTTTAATATATTTAATTCAGCTATTATCAGTTGGGTCTATTTTGACTGCAACTCAAAAAATAATCCTGTTTGGGGATACTTACACCGTGTTCATATCTTTTTTATTTTTATTAGAATTGTCAATGTAATTAGATTAGCTCTATTTTAGCCATCAATTCTTATAAAGTAAATCAAACTTAAGTTAGTAATTCTAAACATTTATTATTAGCTAGTTCATTATAGAATCTTTAATAGATTGACCTCAATTTATTTCCTCAAATAAACAAGGGCCTTAAGTTAATATTTATCAAATAAAAATTCATTCCAATTTATATTAACTTTAAATTATTATTTAGTCTAAAACTAAAATTACTTATCAAACTCTTTCAAATATTATACAAACATTTAATAACTTTCCTTATTATCTAACACCTTTATTTAATAATTTATTTTATTTTCTGTTTCACTATGAAAAATTCAAAATTGAATAAAGTTCAAACGAATTTTTGTTCCATTCATTCAATCTATTCAATTCTCCAAAATTCACTTATTTTTCAGTCAATTCAAATTTCAACCTAGGAAATTAATCATTTTTTTTATCTCAAAGAACAAAAAAATAAAATAAAATTTAAAAAGTTACATAAAATAATTTTATTTAAATTAAATCTTACCAATTTAAACAAATTTTATGAAATCTGATTAATGGTCAACAAAGCCTTTCATTAAATCATACAATTTGAGATTAATAAAAACTGACTTTTAATTTAGAATTGATGCAATAAGCTTTTATAATTATAATTAATTTTCGACTAATTGTTTAAAGAATTTAATATGATCTATTTAATTTTTTCCCTTATAGTTTTACCGATTTGTTTCTAATTTTATTTATCCTTTAATTTTATGTAATTTTTTTTATTAATTCAATTATGTATATTTGTGTATTTTCTACTTTTATTTTATTTTTATATTAAATAATTAATTATTAATGAATGTAAAAAATTATATATTACGTAAACTTATTGGTGAGTCTTCAAATACATTGACAGTTGAATAAGTTTAGAAAATACTTGAATCATAATAGGATGATGATAGAATATTTAGGTAAAATTACATTTGCGAAATAGAGCAATAATAAATTCAACATTGTCCAATTAAAAAGTATAGACAATCAACTAAGAGTTCCTAATAAATTCTTCAACAGATTTTGGCAATTTATTGTTGAAGTAATTGCAATCCAGTCTAGTAAATATATTAATCTATATCATCATTTTAGTAATCTACATAATCAAAGAAATAACTTTAATAATCAGCCTAAATTCCCTTAGATATCAATTAATTTAACATTGATATTTCACAAACTGATTTAATAAAATAATAACTTTAATTCATCTATCGATAATACAAAGCTACTATTCGATAAAATGGTGATGGATTAAAAGAAACATTAATTTATCTTGAAAATTTAAATTTAGCAGAATAAATAATTCAATCTTAGTATGCAGAATAATGTATTCTAAAAGCACCTCAATATATCGAAGGAATTGATTAAATTAATTTATGGTGTGAGAAAAGCACTTCTTTATATTAGATTGTAATCTCAACTAGAAAACTATTGTAATCAAATAGAAGCACTGCATTAAAAAAATAATTGCAAATTGTTGAAAAATACAAATCAATATAAAGAATTAAATATACATTGGAAAAATTAATGATTCTAAAATCTACTTTTGGGTAATTAGCATAAGCCATGAATATATATGATGATAATGCATATGAAATCATACCTATTATGAAAGAAACATAAAATAATATTAATAAGTATAAATTAAATGAGCTAAATTTATCATGTATAAGTGATAACTTTTTTGATAATAAAATTGAATCTTTGAAAGAAAGAATCAAATAAGGAATTTTAGCCAATTTTATGAAATTTGATGAAAAAAAATACTATTCTCTTTTGAAAAGTTATTATTTTATTGAAAAACATTACTAAATGTAATCTTTTGTAACTTAAATTTGGGTTTTAGCTAAAAGGAGTATTAGTCAAACCTTTAAAAATGCTATTAAATTATTTGAATAATCATATATTCCTCATAAAATCTATTAAAATTGCAAAGATGAAGATTTACTCTAATTCTACAAATTATTATATAGTGAATTGGTAGAATTAATGCTAAATTTTCATTATTGTAATAGGTTTCATTAAGAAAATGATTTTAAAATTGAAGAAGAAGAAAATAATATTAAATTTGAAGAATATACTGAATAAATTAGATAGTCATATTTAGAAATGAGATAATTAATATGGTAATAAATTCAAAAGAAAATTGTTAAAATCATTGTTGCTCATTCAATAAATATTAAATCGCTAGTTATTGAATAATTAATTTATTTTTTAAGTTATAATTGCTTATTAATAAAAAGAGCTGAAGATTTTAGCCATTCAGATTCCCAAAGGTAAAAATTTGTATAATATTTAGTTTAACTAAATGCATTATAGATGTTTATATGAGTTTTGTTTAATAATTTCATAAAACAAATTTAAAATCAATAAGTACATACTTATAAAATGAATTATACTAAAGATTACCATTAACAAAAGATTCCAAGTTGACATAATAATTAGAATAGCTATCAAATTTAAATTAAGTAAATAAAAAACTTTTTGAATATTTGATTGAAAAGAGAGAAGAGAATTATCAATAAGAAACAAAGAAAACAGTTGATTTTTAAGATTTAATAAATAATGATAAAGAAATGCAATTATTTTATTTATTTGAATATCAAAATCCTTTTGTACTTCAATAAGAAGAATTTGATTTAATTACTAAAGCCATTTGGATTAAAAAGTATATAACTTAACCAACAGGTATTTTAAATTAAATTGAATCAGTATTATCATCATCTAGTATAAGAATATTGGAATTGCTTCCTTAATATGCTTTGCTTTCCTTCTATCATCCTTCTTGTCAATAGTAAATAATATTAAATTTCCTTCAATTACTTGAACTTTATATGTTTGTTTCATATAATTAATTAGTAGGAATGACATAATAAAAATAGCTTTTGGAAAATTTTACTTAAACCATAAAATTTGATGAAAGCAAAGAAATTGAATACTTTATTTAAACTTATGATTAGTATAGTGATTGTTTAGTGTTATAAGAGCGCTTTTGTTATTTTAAAAGATTTGTTTAAAAATTTTGTAAAGAAGGAATAGATTTTAAAGAGATAGATATATTTTAAACAAAAGAAAAAAGATAATATGTTGATATTGCAGAAAGAGCCATAGCTTCAGAATCTTTAGCATATTTACTTTCTATTACTAAATCTGTATTTTCACTAATTAATATATAATCTTAAAATTTTGATATTTTTAAAGAAGTCTATAATTAATACAAAGAATTTATTTATAGAAATTTTGTGTAAACATATATTAAAATTGATGGAATAATATAATATGTACCTTAATAAAAATGGGATTTAAAAGATATTCATAATGAGAATAATAATATTTATTTAGATAGATTAATTTAATTTATTCTTGATTAAAAAGAAAGATTAAAAAGCATAGGAGGAGGGGTTATTCCATTAAATGCTTAGAAAGATATTTTTTCATTTTTGGCAGAACATTGCTTAAATGTTTTATTAGAAACATATGGGAAAATAAAAAAAGTAAAACAGCTTTAGATTAATATAGTTAAACTCAATTGGAAGAGATTAAATGGTTTTTGAATATACTACTTGTTGTTAATCAATTGAATCAAGTTAAAAGAATACCAAAGAAGTTGTACTTAATCCTAAAATTACATTAATGTAATTAGAATACTTGAAAGTTTTTAATTCATAATAATATGAAGAAATCGATTAGTATATCCAAAAATCAAAAGTAAATATGATTAAATACTAATATTTAGACTTAGATTCCATTAAGATTACTGTATAATTTAATGAGCTCATGTACAAGTTATAATAAATTATCAAAATAATAAAAAAAGGACATTTCAGTTAAATTTTTCAAAGATTATTATGATACATTTAAATTATTTTGATATTTATAAACCAACAACAATTGAATAATTATATCACTATAAATTATTATTAATCATGCTTTAATTTTCTTATAATTGCTGACTTTGATTTGTAATCGATTCTTAAATTGACTATTACTACAGAGTATTATTCATATCTATTAAACTCATAGAATTGATATCAATTAAACAAATAGAACATCTTCCTACATTTTTTTGGATTTGCATATGATTTTGAATACAATGTTAATGAAAGCAATGTCCACAAAAGATTTCAATTATAATTCCTGTTTAAAATGATTCTAAACAATATGCACATCTATCTTATTCGAATTTCATTTCATTTTACTTAATCTAATGAATTAGATTCTAAGACTTTAATTTTTCAAATTCTGATTAAACATTAAAATTTCTTCTACGACGTGGGAAAATTGGCTCTGGATCTAACCATTCTACAAATCTTCTCCCAAATATTCTTATTAAAACTGTTCTTATCAGAGCCATAATTATAATACTCCCAAGAATTGTTAGTAAAAGTATAATAATAAATTAGAACAATTATTATTAGTTTTATTAACTTCTATTTTTAATAAAGACTATTTATTACAATTTTTAAATGCTGATAATTTAATAGAACATCTGAGAAAAATCTATCTCTGCATCTGTTGTGAATTATAAAGTAATTCTAAATTAATTACCTTATATCCTATAATATAGACTCTTGGATAAATTACTCAAATTGTAACATAATTTTACATTTAAATCAATTAATTAGTACATGGAAAGTCATCAGACAGACCAACATTTAAACAAATACTTAAGTTTGCTTTGACTACATCTTATGATAAATTTCCTATTCCAATTTAAAACAAAAAATCTGGTCCCATTCTACCTTAAAAATAGATTGTACAAAGCTCTCCTTAACTAACTTTTTATTTCATATTTTAGAATATTATCCTAGATTCAGCAGAAACATAATATAATTAATTAGGACAATATATTGGAATTCCACAAATATCATGATTCTAATATAAATAATTTGTAGCATTATAAAGAGGGACTTCCTTTACAATACCACATTTTGGATAGGTAACATTCATTTATGGATCAGGATATTCAGATTAATTAAGTGTTCTTAGAACAGTTTATTAAGAGCAATTAAATGGTACCTATACTAATTCTGAACATTAATTATTTTCTAAATTATATTAACAGCAATTCTCTTACTAGCAAGAATGACACTACAATATATCAAATCTTACTTTTGAGTAAATTTTGCAATCTATTTCTTTACATGAAGATTGAAAATTTTACTCAATTTTTTGGCTATTTTCGCTTTTATCTTCTGAAGGATTGATTGAATTTCCATATAATAAATCTCTAAATTATTATTTCCTTATACATAAATGTCAAGATAAAAAATAATTGCATTATAATAATTAAATTACTTTTTATTATAATATTCAAATTTATATATCAATGTTAATTATCTCAATAAGGAAATACCCTATCTAAGTCGTTTCTATTTTTATTTTCAGTATCAAATGCTTTTTAATTGTCTCTTTATATTAATTTAAACCAATCAATTAAAAGCAATCATATTCTCTAAGTAAATATAATCTAAATAATCTAAATGATAAAGTAAGCAAAAAATATGACTAAATCTTTTATTTTTATTTTATAAAGGTGCTTTTTAAAAATTATTAGATATTTTACCTTTTGTATTTGTTTTAATCAGGAAAAGAAACTAGAGAAAACACCCCAGCTAAGACATTTTGGTCTAACATTAATATTCAAAATTGTACTAGATATAAGTGAATTTCTATAAATTGAATTATAAAGAACTTTAGTAGATAACTAATTTTAAACTATATCATATTTATATTATAAAATTATATAAGGCATAATTGGCTGCAGTTTTATTTTAACCCAAACTTAAATACTATAACTAAATTGCAAATAAAGATATATCTTATAATTTTCACAAAAAAATCAAAAAGAAGACGTTTAGGTTTATATCTTTATCAATTTGAAACATCGTTATTGATTAAAAATATTCTAATTATCATTTTGATTTACCTCTAAAAATTAAAAAACAATATAGGGTAATTTGATAATAAAATTGTTATAAATTTATTTTGAGAATATGGATTGATTTATTTATGAAGATAAAACTAAATTTTTTCTGTATTATATATTTTTAAATAGTACAGTTTATTCATAAAATTCAGGATATTAAATTAATGATTTGAATAAATGAGCTAATATTTTTGAATTAGAGATCCATAAAAATGAATAAGATTTATTACTATTATTCCAAAACTTATTATTTTATATAAAATTTTTTTCATATCCTTTTACTTATTTTAATGAAAATATGATGACAAAAATTTTAATATTCATCTCTAAATGTAAATTATATATTAATAACTTTTTATAAAATAATTTCTTCATAATAATGAGCGAAGGACCATTAAGTAATGTGCAATGTACCCTTCATAAATAACCAATTACAAGAGTAAAGAAGCAAAAATAAATAAATTAAATAGAACGAGTATTATGTCTGGAGAAGGATCATGTACCTAAGAGATTTACACGGTTTTGGACAAAATTTCAAAATTTCTTGAACCAATCCATAAAATTTATAATGGACTTCACTAAAGTTTGTTAAATCTTAAATTAGAAATAGGTAAGATGATAAATCAAATATTTTCATTCATAGAAATAGCTATTTAATCAAGCGTATTTGAAATAATTAAGTTGGAAAATTACATAAAATATTAAGACTATTATAAAGAGTTTAAAATGGAGGATTTATAGAAATTAGTTGATTTTGTTTATAATGATAATATTTTACAAAATCCAATATTTGAATCTACTAAACAATTGAACGAAATATAATCAGGGTATAAAAATTTATTGATCAAATTTTTGAGAATATTATAGAGTTAATTAAAGGTGATACACAACAATAAGATAAATAGAATAATTATTAAGAATAGAAAAAAAAGGAAAATTAAGATCAAGAAAGCTAATTCCAAATAACATAAGTCATAAATAAAAAGAATAGGGCAATTTTGTAAGAGAAATCAACAGTATTTACAAAAAAAAGTACNAAATTATATAAGGCATAATTGGCTGCAGTTTTATTTTAACCCAAACTTAAATACTATAACTAAATTGCAAATAAAGATATATCTTATAATTTTCACAAAAAAATCAAAAAGAAGACGTTTAGGTTTATATCTTTATCAATTTGAAACATCGTTATTGATTAAAAATATTCTAATTATCATTTTGATTTACCTCTAAAAATTAAAAAACAATATAGGGTAATTTGATAATAAAATTGTTATAAATTTATTTTGAGAATATGGATTGATTTATTTATGAAGATAAAACTAAATTTTTTCTGTATTATATATTTTTAAATAGTACAGTTTATTCATAAAATTCAGGATATTAAATTAATGATTTGAATAAATGAGCTAATATTTTTGAATTAGAGATCCATAAAAATGAATAAGATTTATTACTATTATTCCAAAACTTATTATTTTATATAAAATTTTTTTCATATCCTTTTACTTATTTTAATGAAAATATGATGACAAAAATTTTAATATTCATCTCTAAATGTAAATTATATATTAATAACTTTTTATAAAATAATTTCTTCATAATAATGAGCGAAGGACCATTAAGTAATGTGCAATGTACCCTTCATAAATAACCAATTACAAGAGTAAAGAAGCAAAAATAAATAAATTAAATAGAACGAGTATTATGTCTGGAGAAGGATCATGTACCTAAGAGATTTACACGGTTTTGGACAAAATTTCAAAATTTCTTGAACCAATCCATAAAATTTATAATGGACTTCACTAAAGTTTGTTAAATCTTAAATTAGAAATAGGTAAGATGATAAATCAAATATTTTCATTCATAGAAATAGCTATTTAATCAAGCGTATTTGAAATAATTAAGTTGGAAAATTACATAAAATATTAAGACTATTATAAAGAGTTTAAAATGGAGGATTTATAGAAATTAGTTGATTTTGTTTATAATGATAATATTTTACAAAATCCAATATTTGAATCTACTAAACAATTGAACGAAATATAATCAGGGTATAAAAATTTATTGATCAAATTTTTGAGAATATTATAGAGTTAATTAAAGGTGATACACAACAATAAGATAAATAGAATAATTATTAAGAATAGAAAAAAAAGGAAAATTAAGATCAAGAAAGCTAATTCCAAATAACATAAGTCATAAATAAAAAGAATAGGGCAATTTTGTAAGAGAAATCAACAGTATTTACAAAAAAAAGTAC